ACTGCCTTCATCACGGCTGGATGGACGATCACCTCGCAGGAACTCGCCATACACGACTCGGAGTATAGACTCTGTGTCCGCGCATCATCTCGCTGAACTCCCCGCTGCATTCTTTGAGTACATCTGCCCAAGTGTGATTGGGTTGGGTTTAAGCGTGATCGTGGGAAGAACCTGTCAACAGCTCCAGACTCGGCCGGGCCACGGCCGACTTGCCCCCCCCATGACCCCGCCGAGGGCCTCAGGTCTGGCTCTCACCCCGGCCCCCCCGGTATCGTCAGTGACAACTTGTGCAAGATTATGCAAGTCGCAAAAACGACCTGCGCTCAATTTCACAGCAGCAGACGAGCAAACCAGGGGGATGCAGTATGCAGTACTTGACCGTCCAGCAGCCTGACGTCTGCTTTCGAATATCCATGTTATGTCAACAATGGATTTCAATGCCGAATCGAGAGAGTAGAATGAAGACAACATCTGCACTGTGACGAGAGCTGAACGACTGCACAACTGCCCGAGAGCTACCTGCGGATCTCCATGTTCTGCAAGAAATGCGATATTCTCGCTGAAGTTGCCGGAGCTGTCCTAGTGCAAACTCACGGCTTCGAACAAGTGGGCGTGAGCGTACCAGGTTTTTGAAGCTGCATGCTTGGCTTCTAGCACACCGTCCTGGATCAAGTTCTTGACGTAGTAGATCGCTCGGCGGAGCTCCCCCTTGACAATCCGAGACCTCCAGATGAGGCCGTCCAGCAACGGCCATAGAAGTTCCGGGGCGAGTGCGCTCATTTTGGAGATGACGTCCGGGTGCCGGTGGAAGAGGTCGTCACAACCGAAGTAATAGGTGCTTCTGTCCCCGCGTATGGTCATCAAATCCTGGATGATTGTACGTGCACAGGCCAGGTGGCCTGTTTCTATGGACCAATAGAGCGGAGAAATCGACTGAGATCCGACTGTGACAGTTAGCACTTCTTGAACCCTTTGCCCTCGGGGTGCAATCGCAAGCGCCCTCCTCAGAGCCAGAGGATCGTTCTGGCTCACAGCTTTCATCACCAACGTCGATCCTTCTACGTTGACACGGGTCATAATCTGTGCAAGAAGTTCCATCGACCTGCAGCTGAGCCCAACAACTTTCATGCATGCGACTGATGACATCAAGTAGAAGCTTGTCCCAGCTCAAGGACATGTCAGCGAATCTGATACCTGCAATCCACATCCCGGTGAACCTGCCTGTGCTGACAGCAATGCGGACACGGTGTATCATAAGCAGAAGAAACTGTGTCGCAACAGTGCTGGGAGAGTTTGCGAATCCATTCACCACAAGGAGCATGCTGACTAGGAAGAGAGCACGGCCGTAAACATAGCGTCGAGATGTTCAGTACTGCCAACAAAGGTCGTGCTATTGCTAGCAGTGTAGACATGACTAGCATCGACGTCGTCATCAGCCGACAACGCCTCTGACTAATACTTGCCGTGCGGCCATCTGAGCGACTCTAGAGCCAGTTGCCGGCCCGCGTCCACGTAAGGCTTCATGCTCTCCACGAGAGCATCCGCCAGAGGAGCAAAGAATTGGCTAGGGATGCTCATGCCTCGGAAGTAGAAAGACCGAGGCACCAGGTCTGGTCTCGAAACCGGAAGCATAACCATATCTCCGACGAGTGATCCGGTGTCCCACTGAAACCTATGCCCGGTGTTGAATGTGTCACGATCTAGAGGCTTGAAGCCACGGAAAACTATTCCAGTCAGGACAGATAGCTGCTCCTTTGGGAATCAGGGAAAGCTGCTGATCGCACATGCCGTTACATGCCCACTATCACTGAGCCACGAAACTGGTGTGCCCGATGCTTTCTCAGTGCCGAGGTGCCTACGTGCCTAAGTCCGACAGCGGAAACTTCTTGCACCTTCACCGAAGGTTCGGAATAGATCTCCATGGCCAGAAGCAGGATGTTATCAACCACATACCACAGTCTCGTTGCCGACACTTTCAGGTGGTTGCGCGCTCCAGGGCTCGTCTCAAAAAACTTGTCGAAAATGCTCCCACGGAAGGTCGAAAGATCATCTTCTGACAGGTTGGTGATAAGCTGCTGAAGACTTCTCCTGTAGCGCGACCTAATGTTCGGCAGCACGTGGACTTCTTGCAGAAAGTTCACTCACTAACTGGACACGAATCAGCAAACATCTGACGTGGGAGCAGCTTCTCAAGCAGTTAGATCAAACATGCTGGGCTTGGCTGCAGAGCTGCTATCGGCGTAACACATGTCAATGTAACACTCGTCCAAACATCGCATCAGATGTGAGCCTTGGGGCTCGACTTTCAAGCTAATGGCCCACAAAACGAGGTCTCCTGGGAAAATCGGCACCGTGGGCATTAGTTACATTGTGGGAAGTCGCGGAATCTGTCAAGCAGACAGGCACTAGGGTTGTCATTACTCCCGAAGTCTCGCGCGAGCTCGAAAACTAGAGAATGTCAGCCTCTCAAGAAAAGCACGGCCGAAAGGATCCGCAAGCGATCGTATCGAGGAGCATTAAAGAGAGTCGCGCACGAAATTGTTGATCGCGATCTTTTCCTGTTCCAGCCGAACCTGTTTTTCCTTGGAATGGCAGAGGGCCTTCCTCTGCTGATGGAGATGTTTGGTTGCCCAGTCGTGCTGAATCGCCATCCTAGTCTTCTAGGCGCAACGCTCGTTCATGACAGATGTTGAATCAATGAAACCGGGCGTCTCCAACGAACGCACCGCAAGCACGTTGCAAAAGTAAAGAACACTCGAATTGCCAGCCCAATCAGTCTCTCTTCCTCCACTGCAACAGCCCGGCCAACGTGCCGTCGGCCACTCCACTCCACATCTTTTAAACATCGGTCCATTTTTGGAACCTAGGCCCTAGTCTGGAAGCCAAGCGACACCTTTGCGAGACATCCAGATAGCGTGCGAGCGATCTGCCCCCAAAACCAGGTCCAAGCTTCTTCGAGATCCATATCCTGAGAGAGCCAGTCGGAGGGCTTTGGGTTTCATGGTATCTCAGGAGCCAGGTCTTCTGCAGTCTGCAGGTCTTTTCATTCGAGGGTCCCAGTCTTGAGGCATCACGGAGCGAAGTGACGCTAACCTGAGCAGGCTGGAGATCAGGCAGGCAGACGCCACCATGAGTGCGACTATGGCTACACCTGCAACATAGCTAGATAGACGGACAGATAGATGGATACACAGGTAGGTTGGTCGATGGATGGATGGACGGAAAGATGAATAGATTGACAGACTATAACCGTGAACATCCTTCCTGCCACTTGATTCTTCGAACTGTTTCTATTCATGCTAGCCCTCGCTCGAAATCATTGCCATGGTGGGAATCGCTAACCTAGATGAAACTCACAGCTGCACGGGTCTCAGGTAGAAAACAACGGTACTATCAGTCCATGGGGCAGGACGGTCTTGAAGCTGACCAGGGAGACGGTCTTCCTTCCTTTTGGAACATAGTGTCGGTTGAGAATCAACGCCAAGACATGGCATTCCTCCTGGATCCTGTATGGTTTGTCGGCATTGTTCGCCATGGCGCCAAGATAATCCAATGTGCAACTCATCCAGTCCGTGTCAGCATAGCCCATGACGGACGCATTGAACATAAACATATCCCTGAAGGTCTGTGGAGTTTCTATCACCTTCTTTCTTTGTGCAGCCTTGTTGTCGCCACCTGTCCTGAGGTCTACGTCGGGCTCCTTCTGTCCCGGAGCTTGCGCAGGCACGTCTCCAAGCACTTCCGAGGGTTCACGCTGCTCCGCACTGTACTTGTTTGCGTCTTGCCAGCTGCGAAGGATCCGTCGAACCCGTTCACCGTACTCGCGCTTCACGAATAAGAAGATGCCACCTATGTAATTGAAGAGGACCCGGAAGCTTTGGAAGGACACTTCGGAGAAACGATGTCCCAGTTCGCCATCCATGGCCGTCGTGATGCCAGTGACGAAGGTCTCTACATTGTCAAGCGACACCGCGTTCATGTGCTGGAAAGCGAGCTTTTCAGCCTTGTCCTTCAAAGCCTCTGGGTTCCCAGCATCTGCAATGAGGCTGCTTGTGCCATTCATGAATCGCACTGCAAACACATGGCGTGAAAAACGAAAGGATTTCTGCAGATGCGGTGACAGCTCCATGACGGCGTCCCAAACGGCTTCTCCAGCAGCTTGCCTAGAGCCAGACCTCTCAACAAAGGCTAACCACGTCTCCTTGATTTCCTCAATCCAGTCTTCAGGCAATTGCAGCTTATCGAGTGTGGTATCCTTCACACCACTCTCGAATTTTTCCATGCAGTGTCGCACCAGGCTCTCCTGCGAGGCCACATTTTCGCCAACCTCCTCCACCACATTCCCCTCGTCGCTCGAAGAAGAAGAAGCTGCGGAGTTCTTCGAGCTGGCCACTGCGTCAGCACTGCCCTCCTGCTCTGTGCTGCCCTCGGAAGTAAGTCCAATGCTGCTGCTTCCGGAGACGCAAAAGCGCCCGGGATCTGACATTGTCAAGCATTGCAGGTGAATTATTCAATCGCTAGGCCGCGAGACTCTACAGCGTCACCACCGTTGATGGCCTACGTAGCCCGTTCGTGCCTGTCGGGCATCAAGAGAAAGCAACACGATTTGATGTTTATTCTGTCCCACCATGGAAGAACGTCCGTTCTGACAGGGAGTGCTGTCTGCTTGTACAAATGTTCTTTCTCAAGCGCTTTGGGCCAGCATCAAGAGTCATCAAGCCATGACGGCAACACCGGAGCCACCGTGCGCACCCGGCAAAAAGCAAACACGATTCTTCGGAAGCGTGGTTGCTGTGCTTATTAATTACACTGAAAGCCTGGCGATGTGCAGATGCCAGCCGTGGGTTATGCTAGTTGCTGGAATCATGGCCGTGCTGTGACAGCACACTGCTAAGGCCTGCCACAGCCCTTCGAATCTAGAATGATCTGGCATGTCAGATCACACAAGTGTTTGTGAAGATGCCTTGGCCCTCGTGGCCGTAAACGGGCCGTAAACTTTCTTAGGCCGCAACGGACAGGCCGATCAGCTCGCGGTCGAAGACGCGGACTGCACTGGAAAGCTTGGACTGGCGGTCTAGACACCTGGGATTTCTCTTGCAAGCGGGACTTCCCACAAAGTTCGGTCGGACTGTTTGGAAAAGCGGGCTTGACATGCATGCAGCAGGATCGAGAACATTAACAAGTCGTCACAGTAGTGGTGCTGGTGGTCGTGGTGGTGACGATAGTAGTAGCAGTAGTGGTAGTGGTAGTGGTAGTGGTAGTGGTAGTGGTAGTGGTAGTGGAGGTGGTAGTGGTAGTGGTAGTAGTTAGTAGTAGTAGTAGTAGTAGTAGTAGTAGTAGTAGTAGTAGTAGTAGTAGTAGTAGTAGTAGTAGTAGTAGTAGCAGTAGCAGTAGTAGTAGTAGTAGTAGTAGTAGTAGTAGTAGCAGTAGTAGTAGTAGCAGTAGTAGTAGTAGTAGTAGTAGTAGTAGTAGTAGTACCACGTTCGCCCACAATAGGCCCGGAGGTTTCAAGCACTTTTGCGCACTTTGCATGCTCCGCGGGGGGGACGGGGAGGGTAATGACGTTCTCGCTGCACGAATTGCTCGGCCCTGCCGGTACTTTCGGCACTCCTCGTCGCTAAACGTTATTGGAGTAGTTGTTGCTGCCGTTGCTCGGTCAGTACTGTCCGGCTTCCTTCGCCTGCGACAGCTGCTGCTGCCGCTTCGTTTTCCTCTTGTCAGAAGGCTCTCATGTTTGACATGGCTCTTGCAGCTGTTCCTGCTTGCGAGTTTGCATGCGGAATTGGTGCTTCCCGTTTCGCATTGCTGCAGCTGCTGATACATTTCTTAAGATGCTGCCGATAACTCAAGCACCTTCTGCCATCCTTTTGCACCTCCGACGACCACTGTTTCTGTACCGCTTCAATCCTTTCTTTGAGCAAAAACTCGACTCTGCGACTGATGCCGGCCTCACTTCACCCTTCGCTTCGCCAAGCCAGAGGTGGTCCGAGCTACCACAAGTGGCAGTCACCTGACAGATCAATTCAATCGGTGTAGGCTTCCAAGTGATGTGGATACAGATCGTATGAGCATGATTCCTCTCAGAATTTTCGTCGATCGCAGTGGGTCCGAGTAGGTACAAAACCAACAATGCCAACAGGACCCAAGACAAAAAACAAGCATGAGCATCGAAGCCTGCTGCCTTTCTGTCTTTCACTCACTGAATCATTCACTCACCCACTCACACAAAAAGCAACCACGGCAACACAAGAACGACGACTGCCATGACAAAGCAACAACAGGAGTGGCAAGAATGCAAGCACAACCTTCGCGGCAAAAGCCTGAACCAAAACCTGCCCCTCAATCACAAACACGACCACAAACCACGACTATAACCTCTACGAACATCTGGCCCTGGAGACGCCGACCAATCAATACGAAATACTAGCAACTGCTACCACAACGACAACACAACCAAACGTAGGGCACAGTTGGAAAGAGACGGCACTGTCACAATTGTGACGTGCAACGGAAACTATATTTGCAGCTAACGTTTACTTCAGCACTACATTTGAACAGAACACAACACACCACCAGACCAACGCCAACACAGCAGCAGGCACTGGCAGCAAGCCGAGCCGTAACAGAACAAGAAACTAATCATCATCTTCACCCTCCCTATCATCACTACCACCAGCATCATCATGACAATCACCGGCCAACCATCACCACCATCATCACGAGCGCAGCGGCTGCAGCAACAGCAGCAAGCAAGACCACGAGCGCCCCAGCAAGGACAAAGTACGCAGCTTGCAATACATGCGACTGCAGCACAGCACAGCCGTCGCAGCAAGAGCAAAACGCAAATAGACACCAAACTCAGAACCAGCCGGAAGGAGCGTTCCCATAGCTGGCTGCAGAAGAAGACGAAACTCCTTCAACGAGAAGCAGCCACGGCAAAAAACAAATGTGAGAATGGTGACTATTACTACGACGATAACCAGGTGCTGGAACTGGCGGCGGCCACAGCAGCCAACCCCAGCACCGGCACCAAGGCCAGCATGGGCGAGAACGACTGCCACAAGAGTGACCAAGGTTGGTTGGGCCATCCGGACGCCCGCGACTACTTCAAGGCAAGATTGCGTGGCTAATTCAGAAAGCCTGGTCGCACAGGGCTTCTCATCGTCCAGGATCTAGCCGGTTGGACCAACCCGGCCCGCTGAAGCTTCAAGTTTACTCCCTGCAGCTGTGAAATAGCTACGATGTCTATCCAGCAGCGGGAAGGAGATTGCCGAGATAAGATGACAAGACACCCCTGGCAACACTCGGAACGAGTGCCATGGCAGCGGTGCCATCAGTCTTCTTCATTGAAAGACACTTGCTGCATGCAGGAGAGTGGCATTGAGCCGCTGGATGCCTGGATGGACATCAGATCCCTCCTGATGACGAGGGATGTGCAGCGAGACAGTGAGTGAGAAACGGAGAGCGAGAAACAGAAATCGAGGCAGGAAGGATAGAGTGGGTGAGTGAGGGCTTGCGGGAGGGTGGGAGCGCGTGCGTGAGGAGGGGAACGACAAAGAAAGACGTAGACACAGAGCGAGAGAGGGAGAGCGGGAGAGCGAGAGAAAGATCGAGATCCCGAGCAGCCACTCTCATAGGCTTCTACAAGCCTACAGCTGCCTACTAAGCATTCAGCGCTTCAATCTGTGTGAGTCCTCCTTCACGACATGACGGTCGAAAAAATTCAGGCGGCGCATGGGCGGATAGTCACGATCCACCTACTGCAGCAGATTCGTTTCAGCCAATTTCAGGCATGATGCTTGCAGTTCTGGTGCAGTCTTCTCTCCTTTGGTTTTTGACTTGGGCTGACGAAGAGGTCCTGAGTGACTGGGGCTAAGGATGCTGAGGTTTCTAGAGAATTGGCCTGGGCTGGTGGGTGCACTGCGGTGCTTGCCCCTGGGACAGTGACCAATGGACGGCGCGAGCACAGGTTTCCAAACAGCAACATCGGCATGCTCTCACACTCATCGAGTGCGAGTCCGCCAGAGCCCTGCAGCGAGGAAAATGCAGCAGGTAGACTTCCAAGCGAGTAGGTGATGCTTTGGGGTAATAGACAGGCCCATCGCAGTGCGGATGGATGCCCTGTCCGGGCCTCGGAGTACATCAGGGCAGCACATCAAGCATCTACAGGTTCCGAGCACTTGCAGATCTGCAACGAATCCTTTGGTTTCGCAATTTTGGCTTCACTCAGCTTTCTGCGGCTCACCGGATTTGCTTAGGTGTCGGCCGGTAGCCGTTGATGCGAATGCTGTTCATCGGATACCTCAGAAGCCAGATAAAGCAAGTTCTCCCAGCCAGGCACGCTTACTTCAGATCAGCGGTTTGCCACTTGGATGGACATCTACAGCTACCACGCATTTGAATTTTAAGAAAACGTGCGGTTCATCACGCGCACAGGTTGCGGCGCAGCATCCTTTTCCAGATTGTTCAAGCACGGGAGCAAGACATGGACGTCAGAGTATGTTAAGGAGTTTCTGCGCAGGTCTTACTCTTGGAGCGGAATTACATGACGCACCTCCTTCTTATGCCCCACCTTCACAAATAATAGTTTGGGTTTGGGCACGGGAACACTCCCCAACGTCGCCCACAAAGGCACAAAGGCTAACAAGCAAATCCCCCATCTGAATCTCCGCTGGAGGGTTCGACGGCTGGACTTGAGACTCACGTCCTGGCCTTTCACCCAATTGAAAGCTACTGTGCCATCGTCATCCTGCGGAAGTACTAATATGTAGAGTGAATAGGTCACAACGATGCATCCATGCGCTGGATTGCGGCGCAGCTTCTCCTCTCGCCTCTCAATGTTGGAAGCACCCGCCGCGACCCCTTGAAAATTTGGAGCAGGTCGAGCTTGAGGCCGAAGGGAGAGGGAACCCGGAACCCCACAGCAGCTGAGCGCTGAGGCAGGGCTGCGTCGAAGACGCCGAGTTGGTGCAGTGCATCGGCTAGCCTGAGTAGCTTTCGGGCATTTGGGCCATCGGCGCTGGTTGATGGTAGGGTTGCAGGCGAGGGCTCGAGTGCTGTGCCAACATCTCTGAGCTGGCACTGACATGTCAGCAGCAGTGGCATTCTTCTGGCCTCATGTTACCTTTGTGCGCATGATCTTCTCGGAAGCTAGACATCAACAGTGCTTCAAGCTTGCAAGGCGAGCCTAGTTGCATGTTGCTGTATCAGTGCTTCAAAAATTCAATGAATGATTGCAGCACCGAGACTCAGCAACATTTTGTCTTGTGGATTGGATTGCAAACACATGCCCGCAAAGAAACGCACCATCTTCAAAAGCACACACTTTGTCTACACTCCCCCACGCTCTTCCCACAGCGAGGGTTCGTGAAGCATGCCATCGTGTCCTGTCAAGCTTCGGCATCTCGAAAATCAATCTTCGTCCTCCTATATGTCACTGGCTTAGCAGATCACTGACAACTTTTTTCGCATGTGTGGTGCCGGCGTTGCCTGACACTGTTATCCACATGCATCGCGTGCATGTTGCTAATCAGTGAAGCGAGGATGTGCACAGACTGCGTTCAGAGGACGTGTCGGATATACTGCGCCACTCTTGGATAACATCTTGAGCTGCTGCAATCCTTGCAGCGAAGTCTTGGTTGTGCCTGCACATGTCCGAATTTCGTGCCTTAAAGTCTACCCCGTCCCTGCTTCCCAAAACTACATAGTCTCCATGAGTCGTCAGAACTTTTTATCGGCGCATCTAGTCTTGTCCTCTTTGAGACGAATCATCACGAAATGGGATTCAAGGCATGCAGCCGAATGCATGCTGTCAACTCACGCCCCATTACTGTTATGAGTTTAACTTGGATTCACACGGCTTGGAAGCAGCTGATTCCGGATACATTGTGCCCGGCATTAGCAGTGGTGCTGGCACGTCTCTTAGAGTCTCGCTTCTGCTGTGACTCTGGCAGAGGCATCCGCCTGTCGGCACCAAGACAGCATGAATGAGAAACGAGAAGCCTACCTGATGGATGCTTGAGACGTGCACATGCCAGTCTGGCTGGTTTCTTGGATTCTTGGGGTCCGGCATCAGCCCTCGTCCACAGGTACATCTGTCACCTGCAACAAAAGCGAGGAGTTTGTAAGACCGCCCTTGTCATGACTCAACGATATCCAATCCTCCCGCTTGCCTGTGGCCAAACAACTCCAGCGCAGGATAGAAAGCCCCAGACACACTGCCAACCTGCACCCCACTCCTGAGAAGATCTCGTGCGCATGTCCTGCAGCAAGTGGATTCTGCAACCCTTACCGTGACTCCGCACAGACCCGAAGGAGAGCCGCGCGTACCATGAGAGCCTAAACCCGTCGCGCTCCTCCCAGGAGCGCATGTCCCCATCCGCAATCTGAAAGAACTCCGCTTCTTCTTCCTTTCCAGCACGTGACAAGGCGTTCATCCAGGCCTAGGGACCTAGAAATACCATGTTTTCTGAGAACATGAAGACGCAGAGTTTGCATTTGTGTTTCGGAATCTCGAGGCCAAACCTCTGGAAAAACAACTTCGTGATTGCAGTGATGGGTCGGACTTGCCAGCCTTCGAGATCCACTCGGGGATGTAGTAGATCTCCGGTATTGTGCCAACCTGCTGCGTGCCACTTGACAACATCCAGCGACATATCAACTTCCACTTCTGAGCATGAACATACAATGAACCATCATGCACGTGCATTGCAAATGCGTATGCCATCTTGCCTGGTAGGGTGCCAGCAACTCCTTGGAAGAGGGTGTTCCCGGAGCTGTTGCCCTTAGGCCTGACCTGATCGCCCAAAACAGCCAAAAAAGCCACCGGACCCTGTGAGGACACATGGGTGCAGCTACGGAAGCAGAGGAGGCACGGCTAGGTGCAAGAAGCAGCACGAGAAAGTTGTGGTGCCAAACAGAAAGGCGGCAAGGGCTGCAAGCTAACAGCGTGCAATACAGTCATTAGGGGCTTGCCAGTCGCCGTGCTGCAAGCAACTGAGAAGGCAGCTGTGCGTCCAAGGCTTCCATGGCCTGATCCCTGGCAGAAGACTTCCGGTTGTCGTTCAGACCCGCAAAACTGTACGGGGCAGACCTAAGACTGGCAGGAACTCGCGGAGAAGGACCTGCAGCAGCACCTGGGAAGAGACATGATTTTCTATGTGGGCTGTGCTTGAACCACCATGGAGAGGAGAAGCTGTCAAGTCTTGTAGGAACACATTGCCGGTGCCACCTAATGAGAAATCTTGGTGTTCGATGGGGGACTTGAATCTGGAAAACACTGTAATACTCACTTCAGCATGAAGTACTTGCTGGGTATCATAATCAGAGTCACCACATTCCAGTAGCGCAGACTCATTGGCCAGCGCATTTCTGCCGTCAGCTAGAGTTCTTAGCGACTTAGTGTCGCAAAGACCTGCGTCAGGAGTTTCAGAAGAAGTGCGTCCGATGCCTCTAGCCCATCTAAGCAAGATTCGACTTCGCCCCCTCATCCCAGTCTGAGGCGTGGGACTTCCTGACATGGCTAAAGGCAGCAGCTCCTGCATGCGAGCGAGTTCAAGCAGGTTAAACGGCGAAGTCCCTAGAACTCCACGCAGCAAGACTTTTCTGTAGCGGAAAGCCAGAAACGAGAGCGAGCGAGAGCAAGATCTGCCTGGACGAAGCGATAAGGACTTGTGTTGCTCTCGGAGCTGCTTTGAATCGGTGGACCCAAAATGACCCAAACTCTGAAAAGCTCCATGGTGTCTGCTGCAACGTCGAGGCCACCGACGAGCCGTGGAGCCTGACCAAGCACGACACTGCGACGCAGCGTCACAGCAGCTTGTAACCAGAACATGAGCTGCTTCAAAGGACTACTTAAGGATCCGATTTGTACCGCGGAATGCTGTGCCGGCTTTTGTCACGACTCTGGAGCCTCGTGGCTCGGGCAGGCATACCAATCCTGGAAGTTTCCACAATGCTTTGCAGGCTTGTCATCTCAAGAGAGACCCGGATGATGGCTGTAAGTTTGGAATGCGAATGCGCGAAGAGCACTTCCAGGTCACCGGCACCCTGCTGCGGGCCACGAGCCACTCCGTTGAGCTCGAAGACCTAGTTCAGATTCACTTCTGCTCTCAGTCTCTCAAGCTGCCGCTCTCTAGTCACGAGAGATCAGGAGATGACCCCACGGAAGCGGTGCGGCTTCTCCGGTATGACTGCAGCGGCCGCGGCGTACTGGTACCTTCCCAGGGGGCCACGACTCCTCTTGGCTGGCACAAGAGAAACTCAGATAAGCGATGCACACATCCAGCTCCACTGCCACCATCTCCCCATCTCAGCAGGACATGGCTCCCCTTTTGCATCATCGGCTTCAGCTCGCCCGTGGGGAAGGCACAAGCTCTGAGATCGGAACTTGTGGCCCAGTGCCCAACTCCGCGACCAACGATCTCTCATGTCAACCAGAGAAATTCGTGGAGCTTCCGACATGCACACCGAAACTTCTAGATTCTGGGCCGTCTAGACTTACGATGCTACCGATACTATACATTTAAGAGTCTAAAGTGTCCCTGTCCAGATGTGCAGCTGCCTGCACCCCATCTGCCAAATAGGCTGCCCGACCGTTCGGGTCGAGGTAAACCTCAGGCCAGGACGGGATGGGGATTGGCCAATGCGCCCGGCCTGGCTAGCCCACTAGGGCAAGCACATGCCCTGACAGAGCTCCTTCGCAGCCCAGGACGGAGGCCCTGAAGGCCCACTCTCCTCAGCAGAGCAGCCTCTCAGCTCCCTTCACAACAGCCCACGCCCGGGCCCGCTGTCCTGCAGGCGGCGGTGCCTCTGTCATCGTGGAGGCCAGCCGGACTGACGTTGCCCTTACTAGCTGCTTCTGTGAGATGGCAACACAGCCTAAGACCCAGCAAGAAAGCATTGCAAAAAAGGTTGGTTCGCTTGCTGGGGATGCTACAAGCGGCTTCTCCTTCTGTGGCAGGCTGCCGCTCCAACCAGTGGGTACAGGAAACGTAAATCGCAGAGCCTGTGCGGGCTGCTAGAGATCCGAGATCCGTAGAATCTGTTGCCAGCCCTTCAACTTCACCTCCTACTTGACGCGTATACAGTCAGAGACATTGTGCAACATCGAAGTCTGATCCTGGCTACAAGGAGGCGATGATGCGATGTTCGATGCCCGCCAAGCTGTGGCTGTGGCTGGGAAATACGGCGCAAGTCCAGATCGTCTGATTCGTCTACAAGCGATCGAGGGCCTGGTGGCCCTTTATCTCTGTGTTGACCCTCGGGGCAGAGATCTGAGTCTCTGACCGACTACGCTCCTGGCCAAAAGCTCTGGGGATCTTTGGTCCTGATCAGCCAGACGCCCTGTGTGTTCAGGAGGTTCTCGGACTCTCGTCTAGGCCGCACGCACTCTCTAGATCAGAGCATAGGCCAGTTTCCTGCACAAGATAGTCCTCCAGCGGCTGCCAGCGTTGATAATTGCCTTGCCACGTAATGCTGTCGCCGAGATGCATACTTGCAGAGTGCGAGCGATCTGTGCTTACGGATGCCGTCCTGCCCACCCGTGGAAGGCGCCATGCGAAAGGGCTCCGGAACATGGAGGAGCCTGCAAGCACGGAGGCCAGCTCAGACGGGAGCGGCCGTACATTCCCTTCCAAGCTTGCCGACAAAGCTCGTTAACATCAGCATCATCAGCATCATCAGCAACCGCGCTACACGTCACACGTGCAAACTGCCCCGTGGTCCAGACTTCAAGCGGGCCGCAGCCTCTGGAGCCGGATGCTGCGCTCAGGTCAGCACCTGGTTAGGGCTGCCGCTGCAATCGCTACTACAGCTCAGAGCAGTCTCGTTCCGGCAGCTGCCTGCAGCGCGCAGCGCTGTCCCGGCAGTTCTGGAAACTTCCATCGCGGTGCTGATCCCAAATCCACACGGAACACATACAAAGGTTTCAAGGAGATGCACTGAGCATTCAACACTATGTATGATCTTTCTGTCTGCGACCCTGGCCCAAACCATTTCAAGGCACAGGCCTGTCAAAAAGCCTGCTGAAAAAAGAGGGGGACGGAGCCCCAAGAAAAGCGACGGGGGAGAGGGCGGGAGTGGTGAGCCCTGAATGGCCCTGACCAATCCTGAAGAATCTCCAGATGCTGACAGACTTAGCGTGGTCATCCTGCCATGTGGGAGACAAGTTTCGGGGCTTTGGAAACCCTCCCCAATAGTCCGAGATTGTCGTGACATTCAGAGGAGGTTGGTTCGGACTTTCTGTCGACAACGGCTCTTCTGCCATCAGTCACGTAGCTGGGGCTTTCCCAGCCACTCCGGAGACGGCAGCGAGTCGAAGCAATGGCGTTTAGGATTATAGACTGTGTTAAATGGTCTGCGAAATATTTAGCACAGAGAAGACTCCGCTTCGGAGACGTCTGGAAAGCGCAGTGCGATTCCCTGCGGATTTCCAGCGGCCAGGCCCGTATAAGAGAAAAAATCTCGCACGCCCCTGGTGCTACGTCAGCCAATTGGCTGCTGTGCTCACAAGGTGCGGTGACAATGGAGCACTGTACGTCGTCTACGTGCGCTCCACAGAAATCTCGCCAAGTATCCCGATATTTGTTTAGGCTTACGGCTGTGTGGCGATGCCATGGGCTCAAAACCCAAACCTGAGTCCTACTGGCTAGAATCTCACCTGGCGATAAAAGTGTCACTGTGACTAAGCATAGGCCATGGTGGCCTCAAGGATTGTTGGGCAAAATATCCGGTGAATTATGCATGCTCGAGAATCCAGGAGCTCCTAACCCTGGACTCCCGGGCGGTGCCTCTGCGCCGGCCTCCATCTCGCTTTCAGGGCACTATGAGTGGCACCACTTTCTTTCTTTAAGCCGCGCTTGGCTGTGGCAAGGTTGTTGAAAAGGCTACAGTAGCTGCTAGCGAGCATGAGCTGTAGGTAGGCGGTCACTCGGCACAGCAAAATCCAATCAAAAGGCACTGCCAGGTTGATTGTGCAAGCAGTCGCACTGTCGAATGAGTCCTTACATGCAGGTTTAGTTTAGTGGTGCGGGGGGATGAAGTTGCATCTCAGATGCGCTGCTGCAGTACTCTACGAGTCTGCTGCCAGATCACGCTTCACAGAGCCCCCAAACATATTTGGCCTACTGCCACTCTAGCATGCTCTAGGTCTTCGATAAGAACACGCTCTGGAGGTGATCGAGGGCGCTTCGGTTTACCGATTGCAGAAACATGCTTCCTTTGCAAGAGGGCAACCAAGCCCGGCACGCCGGCCTGGGCGCCATGCCAATACCGTCGCACAATAAAGGCATATATCATATGTAGGTCATGACTGCAATTTAACCCTCCGTGCTGCATGGATGGATGGATGGACGGAGGGATGGATGGATGGATATGTGGATGTGGATGTGGATATAAGTATGGATGGAAAGGTATATGGATGACCTGGATATGGATGGATGGGAGTGTGGTCGCTTCCGTATGCGGGTATGTACAATATAAGGAACCCGACCGGGTAATACACCCGAACGACTTGGACACGATCTTCAAGCTGCAAACTCAAACTTTGTCAAGGCCAGCACTATACGATTTGGTCAAAGAAGGTCTCCTCAAGGCAAAGTAGAACGGAGCTGCGGTGGCTGGCGGCCCCGAGATCAGATTCAGCACATTTCAGCAACAAGCGAAGATCTCCCCCGGTCCTTCTCAGCAGCACGAGCTCCTTTGTCGAGTGCGACCTCCGGGTCTGAGCACAGGCAGCTCCGGTCAAGATGGCAAATCATGACCAATGACCCATCATGGTCCCATGGTGCATGCCTGGCCGTGCCGTGGGGTAGTATCCCCGCTGGACCAACGAGTTCATAGCGCCGTGTCCATAGTAGCCTCCTGCAAGGAGTGTGCAGGTGTCTCCAACGGCCCTTTCGTTCGGTGCAATAGCCCGATTCCAGTGAACGCGATCCACTCCAAGCGAGGATCTGGCCTGGCGCATAACCTGGATGAATGTTCTGGTATCCTAGGTAGCTCACCCGCAGAGAAGCAAAGTTTGCATGACAGACTGGATTGAAGACGCAACGTCATACAGTGGCTTTGACTACTCGTCGCATCAATCCAGGCGTCGGAAAGGATTTTTCTCGAGAGCTGAGGGACAGGCCGTGGTACCCATACTGGCCGGGCGGCAGGGCATACCTTGCATCGTTTGCTTCACAGAAGTCGAATACAAAAATATAGAAGAGCGGAGGACTCTGCCCTGCTCCTCCCAAGATGAAGCACACTTTTTGTTTGAGCTTCTGCGCAAAAGCTTCCTCTCTGCGTCTTCCTCTATATTTCAGTTAGCAGATACCATTGTGATACCATTTCCATTTTCTAGTCTAACCATGCGCCATCCCCTAGCCCCCAAACCATAACAATCTATGTCTTAACCCTAAACCCACCGAAAGACCCACACCAATACCCACATGATGGAACCACCAGAAGAACCATACACCACCACATAGAAAAAACCCAACCTCAAACCCATGCACCAATACCTCCATAGAAAAACCATATTCCCCAAGCCCTAACCGTAGAAAATGGAAATGGCCATCTCTAACAAAATATCTAAATAGCCAGAACTGCGGTTGTCGCTTTGAATTTGACGTTAAGTACGGATATTTAACGAATAACAACATAACTGCCCAACGATTAAACAACAAAGTCCCGCATTATAAAGACAACTTGAGACCTAGATTGTTATGGTTTGGGGGCTACGGGGTGGGGCATGGGTTAGAAAATGGAGATGGTATCTGCCAACTAATTCTTCAGGTCATCGTGAGCTTTCTCTCGCATTCCAAAGGCTGGTTCGGGCTCCGGCCCAGGAGGATAAGCACCAGCTCCAGTGTGGAATGGGTTCACACCATAGCCTGGCAGAACGATCCTCTATACCGAGAGCCTTCTGTGCACGATCCTTTGCCTCCGTAGGTCCCCGAGCTTTGTCCTGGTCCTGCCCGTGCTTGCCAATTGCACGATGTGGCTCAAAACTGAGTCGGGGTGCGTTCTCCTACATGCGTTTTTTCGCTTCTGTGCAGAGGCACTGCTCAGGCGTCCTCCTGGCATGGGCGTAGGAAAAGGTGCCCCCTTCGGGCAGGGCGCGACAGGAATCGGGCCCATGCCAAGGGGCAAGTAGCCGTTGTCCATCCCGGCGTATTGACCCTGCGAAGCATGCTCCAAGCCAGCGACGGACATGAGTTGCAAAAATGAGCTGACAGAAGCTGACACGGCGGTCGCAAATGTAAATGCTGATGCCAACAAATGTCGGCGAGAACCACATCTCTGGCTCTGGCTGCTGATTTTGTACTTTGCGCCATGTCCACTAATACACAGGCAGATGGCCTGTGGAGGTGGGAAACTGCCTCAGTGATGCTTGCACAAGACAGGGCTCGGAAGTCAGCCTATCATTCGCATTCTCCGACCGGCATGCTGACCGATTACAGCCCTCCAACTGCTGCACAGAGGCCATCTGGGACTTTGTCACAGCAAATTGATCGCTCGCTTCGCTTGACGGCTCCTGAGTCTGAGTGGGCAAGGCAATTGCGGACTTGAGGCCCTGAAAATGCGTGCTGATGCATGATATGCTGTTGCATGATCTTAGCGAGGCTGTTCAGCAAGATGGGTCTTGCATCTTATGTGCGGGTTACACACAAAATCATGCCTTCCAGCAGACCTGCTCTGCCAAACCGGTGCTGTTTCAGAGGCTGCATGCTGAGAGGCTGACGGTACTTTGATGCTTTTCAACTGCCCTTTTAGATCCCACCCCTTCGTGGCTACTTGCTTTCGAAGGTGCCGTAGGGCAGCTGGTGCATGCGCATGTCCTGCGAATAGGTATGCTCAACCACCTAAGAGACGGCCACTGCTGTAAAACACAAAAGGGGGTGCATTAAGCCCACATGAAACGCGGAGCAAGAACAAACAGCCTGCCGCGTCGTTGGAATCAAGTTGACAGTAATAGTAAAACCAGCGACAAAATGGAGCGACAATTCATTGAACTGTACAAAACGACAACAGCAGCTGAACACAGGCAAAAGCCAGGACAAGCTTCTTTCTGGGCCTTGATGCGTGCTGATCTTCAGTTGCTAAAGCGTACAGCTGCCTATGGACACCCCAAGCCTGCCCGGCACTCATGGCGGAAAGTAGGAAGCGGGGCACAAGTCCCTGATTTGCCGCTGGTTCTGAGCCGAAAATGCTCAGAAATATCTTCTCGGCCAAATTCAGCGCGACTGACAAGCTACACACCCAGCATTGAGGCATGTAGCACTCCCTGCGTGAAATGGGCACAACTATTTTACTGCCGCATGCGTGCTTTCGCAAGTCGGAGTCCTGGCGAGGTGACCTGGCACATCGAGCGAATGGCGGCTGCGCTGCAAGGTCTCTAGAGGTCCTTTGCTCAGATCTTTGACCACTTAAAAAGCTGTCCCCGGGCCCGCGGAAACGAAGAGCTTTTTCCTTCTGCGAGGGTTCTCGGTCTGCGAGCCCCCAGGGCAGAGCTCCACGAAAGATGTCCGGCCCACACCACTGAAGGAGCGGCTTGAGCTCTGGACCTCGCTGTTGCTGTTTCTTGGCTGTGGCTTCGGGCTGATTTTGAGCTTGGGGAGCACGGCGCACACCTTTTCGGTGCATGTGCATGCCATGCCAAGTGGCACGATAGCAGGTAGGGCGTTGTTCGCTGGAACCTGGGCAACAGCGCTGGCGAACGAAGCCTTCAACTAAGCTGCAGCTCGCATGCGAGAGAAGCCTGAGGAACATATTTTGTAGGATTCAAGCAGCGGGTTTCTTGCACGCCTCTTCTCCACCAAGGTTTGCGAGTGGCAGCCGTAGGGATCGGATTGGAAAAGCTTTGCAGCCCTGGGTTGCCATGCGCCATCATGACATCTACATGTTTCTGATGTCTCGACCCAGGCCCAAGCTCATAAAGAAATAGCTTCCCGACCCCACAACTTCAAGCTGACCTTGGAAAAGGCTCTCATGCTCTCCGGATTCTGCTTTCGCCAGATCGAACCGAGACCCGGGAGGCGGCTGGATGCCGATGTAGGAAAATCTGATGCGGCAACGGGACTCTGCACTGGGGCAGCCGAGAAGCCAGTGGGCAAATGTGACATGATGCTTCGGAGTCGTGTCACAAGAAAGCATCCGTCAGATTGCACAAGAAAGTAAGCTATCACGTAGTCACCAAAAGACCGCCCAGGGCCGACTCTAGAACTCTAGACAGAGATCACATCTGCCGCGGTACTTCGGATCGAAAGGAACAGACCTTCCACCGTTTATGGCTCGAAGCCCCTACAGCGCCCCTGACCTGCCCAAATCCAAACACCCCGAAGCCTGACTCAAAACTACTCTGTAACATCGGATTCCCGCCAGCACCTGGCGCTCGGAAAGCGCAGGGCTCCACGGTGCAACTCGGAGAAGCGCTGCCTAGGAGAAGTCAGAAAGCCCTCGGCAGTAAGCCGTGTAAGCCGTAACATGCCCCCTGCCCAATCTGAAGCAGTGCTTTGCAATGGCGGGCGGCTTCTTGAAGGTGAAACTCACGATGGTGACCCTGTCAGGATAGCGGCCCACGACCTCTTTGAAGCGACAAAGGGAAAACAGAACGTTCTGGAAGGAATCCAAGGCGAACTCCTCCGTCACGGTGCGTTGTGCCACTGGCAAATATGTTATGTGCTGCGTGCGCTGCTGCGCTTCCTTTAGGAGATCAGGACGGTTCGCAGAGTATCCCCACCAGTCGAAGTACTCGGCTACCCGATAGTAGCTCCAGCCCTCATTTCGGGGTCCCGCTGCAGCACGAGTCTGACCTCCAGAGAATATCAGCAGAGCTCTGGGGTCCAGTGCAGCTGCCTCCACGCCCGCCTTCAAAAACCATCAAGTCTAAGAGCTGTTGAATCAATGTGTCGTTACCCTAATCAGCAGTTCGCCACCCTCGACCACCCCCATCCCTCCAATGACTTTGAGCCGCATTAGACCCCCATAAGCCTATAGACATCAACAGTGCAGCTGTAGTGCAGGCCGACTGCGGCCAGACTTCCTTTCTTATGGATGCGAAGTTTCCAAATCAATTTACGGGATGCCGTGGCCCAAGTAAATGGTCTCTAAATATCATAAACTTAGACTGCTCGAACCTCCTGACACCTCATTCTAAACTGAAGCTACCCTACAGATAAACACGGGCACTAACACGCCTGTTTCTCAGCTCCCGTGGAGTCTGCACAATGCATATTTCGAGCAGGTTTCGGACTCAGGCTTGAAACTCAGCCCGTGTTGGACATAAGGAGATGAAAGCCTGGACTCACCTTTGAGATCACACAGCAGGGTGGTGGTCCTCTTAGTCCAGTTCTCGTAAGATTCACGAGCTGGGGGGCAGTCCTTTTCTCAGGGTTTTCTCCACTTCCTTAATTAAGCTAAGCAGTTGGAGCATGTGTGTATACACATATAAATATGCGTATATACATATGTACCATCTGACATATGTATACATATATACATATGTATGTGTATATATCTATATACAATTATAGACATATGTACATAGTTGTGTAGGTTGTATATCTACACAGGCATACAAAGATAGATGGACACATCGATGGATTTCGTAGCTAGCTAGCTAGTTCGTTGGTTCGTTGGTTCGCTCGGTCGATGTATAGATAACAGCATTAGTATAACATGTAAGACGTCCAGACATACCTTGGACAACACGTCCAGGTAGAACAAATGTGACACGGAGGGCGTGTGTAGACTACCTATGCACGCATTTTTGCCTGCTTCTAGCCTTGATGTGGCTGACGAGGGCTTGGGGAAGGTCCTGACCACGCTGGTAGGCTTCAAGGAACCAGTCGGACTCTTTGTGCACGATGTGCTCCAGAGAGTCTGCCATGACCACCGCATGTCCTGCGACCATTACCAGGTGGCTGAGCTGTGAGAGCTGGCTGATGTTGAAGCTGATTCCTGCTGCCATGTCGTGCACGTAACCAGCATGTATGGCGCTGAAGCGAGACCAGCAGACCAAGCCTATGGCGATGCTAAGCAGGCTCAGAAACAGCGAAACCAGCCGGGCACTCTTCATCCAGAGCGCATTGCGCCGTCCCAGCGTAAGCGGCAATGGAAGCAAGCCATGAAATCCGTCCTTGGCAAACAATTCCTTTCCATCTCCGCTCACCAGCTGGGCCGACCAGTCTTCAAACATCACAATCGCGGGGACGACAGATGCTGATGTTGCTTAATACGCTCTGTGCTCCACGGAATCTTCTCGTGCTCATGGTTGTGTATCCGCTTGGGTGACTTGATGATTCCTTTTCAACCTGCTTTGTTAGCTGGCACTGCCTGTGCAGTACATTCTTCTCGGGCTGTCAGCCTGTGGACAACCACGCAACAATGATACGAAACATGCTTGGGCCCTTTTTCTGGAAGTGATGACGACAGTTCCTGAACCGAGTCCGGAGTTGTTGGAGCTGCAAGGCTCTGGATGCGCTCATGTTAGCTGCTTTTCTCTGATGAGAATCATGCTGCGCAGCAAATCTTGAAACGAAAGGAACAAGCCTTCGCGAGGAGACCCAGAATCGGCCCGAACCCCTTTTCAGAGTTCTCAGTTGCAAGGTCATCTCGAGATTTCTCGAGAGGCAAACTATCACAGCGTCCCAGGCTGGTGTCGCCTGGGGGTGGCCAACTTAGCGGGGGCCTAAAAAGGAGCCGATGTGGTACTGCTCCGTGGTGCCGGGCTGACCTTGAGAAGCTGCCAGCGTTGAGTCCGACACTCAGACTCAAGATACTCTGATGACTCACGCTCATGTTGCACCAGAATTCAAAAATCGTCACATCACGAATCCCTGAGCTGTTGGGGTTGTATAATAACCCCGCACAAAAATCTTTATCCCTGAGTGGTGTTATCGTTCTATTTTCATCTTATTGTTTTGCCACGAAAGATGCATTATCGTGTTGTTATCGTTTTCTTTTCTTCTTATCGTTTGTCCACGGAAAACCATCAACACGGAACACGGACATGTCAAGACTAAACTTCACAGCACGGGGGTTATTATACAGTCACAGCTGAGCTCGGGGCTCGAGTCTGGACGCGGCTGTCCGTCGAAGTACCATCCAGACCTGCTCTCCAGGAAAAGCCGTTTGGGCGTAGATCGTCGTAGATCAACAGGAGAGAGGTGCTCGTGAATGAGCATACTGTACAGACTACAGACGTATGACCTGCAAATGTATTGGATGAGCAGAAGCATCTCCGCTTGCGTTCGAGGAGCAGGGTGTCATCAGGCACACGCGGGGGAGAGTTGGCACGGTACCTCACTCGAGCTTCGCGGCTTGAATTTGAGTCTTGCACGGCAGAAAGACTGCCAGCCTGAATCCCGGTGCCGAGCATCTTCATGATTAATCAGCCGTGACCTGCTTCCTGAGGGTCCGGCCATTGGCTCAAAGTCGTGAACTCCTGACCAAGCCCTATACGGGTCTGCCAACTTCTCAAATCGGGGAACTCGCAGGCGAACCAACCAAACAAGTGGCTTTTACATCCAACCACCTGTCCTGGGACTGCGCAGATTTCGGAGGGATTCCAGCCCAAGCTGCCCTGTCTTGCAGCAGTGGGTAGCAAAGGACAATGCTGTCGGCCCTGCACATGCCAAAAGAAGCCTTCAGCCCATGAGCAACTCAGTCGCTTCAAGCACCTCTCCAGTTCGTCTTCCAACAGGTCGAAGGTTGCCAGCGGGCGGCCGCTGCTGTGCCAGGCTGCTATGCCTGACCATGACCAAGCATCAAGCAGGAAAATTTTCTCAAACCTCCAACAACCTTTTCTGCGAGCTCTTGCTTTCCAGCTGATTCGGAATGAAGATATGCAAGGTTTGTCGTAGGCGCCTGCCAGCTCCTCTTTCGCGCCGTGGCCTTCCACGTGCCCACCCTTCGCTTCCACAAGGCGCTGGGCGAAGACCGTCATGGCCTCCTGTGCGAAGCTTCTGGTCTCTTCAAGTCAAACGGCTACAGAAGAAGGACATCACACCGGTGCAGTCGCGCAGAATCCACGCAGCCTTGTCCCGAATGTTTGCAAGGTGGGTGTAGCCTGCGAAGATTATATCACATGCAGCCGGACGAACACTCATTGGCCATTGCCATTAAATGCTGATGAACATGCTAGGCAATTCTTCAGTATAAAAAACTACTCTCTACTCTGTTTTGCCGCCTGAACTATTACGAAAGTTCGAGACATCTTCATGACGTGGACGAGCCTTCTTCTGTGAGTGGCACGTCTCTGGCGACTGAGAAGCACTCCTGCCAACCGACTTCCATCAGCCAATTTCGAGAATCGCACCCATGAAGTTTTGGATGGCACCATCATGCACAGCGTATAAGCCGCAGCAAAAAGCGAACCAAAAAAAGTGAGACGTGGAAACCAGGCCAGTCGTGTAGTACATTCTCATACTCTCCAGACCACGGCTGCAGGTGCCTCTGTCCGACGAAGCCTGGCAGAATGAACCAAGAAGACGCAAGCAGATACACTGAGTGTGGGGCTCAACGTCACCGGTCCGCTTCCTCTATGTTAAGGTCCGTCTAAGCCCCTTCGGCACCTTGACTCAGCCAGCAGCTGCCCTGCAATGCCGAAGCCAATGGCGGAGCCGCTCAGGGAAGACTGGGCCGCAAGGATTCTCTCATTAAGAGGCTTTCAGTTTGCAGCGCTGGGTCTGCGTTCCAGCTTTGCAGCAGGTCGGGCATGACGACGACGTTTCACTTATTTCTGTTGGCAGGCCTAGCCTGGCACAAATGTGACTCGTTGTCAATGAAGGGACTAACGGTAGTAACGCTTTCTTCTGCTTCTTCCGATGCATCCCGGCTCAGCTCTTCCAGTCAACGAAGCAGCACCCGAAAAAGAGGCAAATGCTGAGCACGTGGTACTACCCCAGCCCTGAACAACTGACAACCTCCCCAAAGAATGGGCATGGAGCGACACAGAGGTTGTCCAGCAGAGCATGATGTTTTGGATGTCGACAAACATTAATTTGATTAGTAAGCGAAGGCAAGTAAGGTTCTAGATTGAGGCCCTCGCCGCTGGGAAAGCTCCAGTTACAGGTTTTTGAAGGCTTTGGGACCGACTGCTCAGTCCGACTCAACTTCATGTGCTGACGATGAGTGACGATGATGGGCGGTACTGAATGATGGTTTAGGCTTTGGTCAAGAGGTACGTCTGTTCCACGTAATTAGGAGTCTTGGCATCGAACTGAAATCACGCGGAGGGATGAAGAAACTAGCGCGATCACAGGCAATGGTGATAGCATTCAGAAACTCAATAACGGAACAACACGCCCAAAGTGCTGTGCCCCGCAGCCCATGGAATACGCATTGCCGACAACAAACGACCGCGACCCTGCATAACAGCGTTCTGCTCATCCTGTGAGTCGGTGCTCGCGGCAGCTGAGGGTGCCTCCCTGCGCCGTTCCTGGCCGGAGCCCCTGATGCTGCTTGTGAGTCATCTCAAGATATCTGAAATCTAAAGGGGCTGCAAGGCCCCAATTGTCTCACCCGCGACGCTGGTGGCAAGTCGCACGTCAAGAGCCGTATGAGCCATCCCAAAGGCTTTCCAAAGGTCGCGAAGGAGACCGGAAAGGACAAGTTTCCCTAAGAAAAAACGGCGAGTGCACCAAACGAGTTCATCACCTGTGGCAAGTACATGCTAGACCAGATCGGCACTGACGCCTGCAGCTTGAGCTACGGCAAGGTGGAGCGCAATGTCGCAAACATGTTGGCCTGCTTGGCCCGCCCCTCTTGATCTGGAATCTCGAACAGCGAGAACACGCTGCGAAAGAGGACATGGACCCCTCCAACGTGTTCTCAACCGCTGCTGGTTTCGCCTTCAGCGACGAGCGTCGTGCCTTCACACGTCACCAGCGTGAGCATATGGCCACAACACCGGGCGTCTTTCCAAGCAAGACGGACGTCGGCATTGCCTTCGCATGTGGCAGTCCTGCGCTCTCATGGTGAGCTACCTCCGGCCAAAAAAACTGCACACGCTTGCACGCCCCCTTTCTCCTTAGAGCCAGCATGGTTACCATCATGTATGGCGCAGCCTTTGCCTCTCCCTCCCAGGCTTGTGCCCTTTTTGAAAGTGTGCGCTCGCAGCAAAGTACAAAATTTAGAACGTCGAGTTCTACTTGAAAAAGTCGCAGTGCACACACGCACACGCACATGTGGTTGCACTTTCAATTCAACCACCTGGATTGCTGCGTCTGTCTTGCACGGAGGCCTGTGCAGTCCGGGAAGTGGGCAGGCTTGAGTCACTCGTCGCACATGCTCTCATGGTGTCATTTGGTGGGTAGAGCTCTTTCCAAAACTTGGCACCCATGTAGGCGTGTGAGTGCTGCGCCAGTTTCATGCCTTGCGCCACGCTTGCTGGTGCAGCTGCACTGCGATTTCTGCTCAAGGAAGAAACCGCGGCGCCTCAACCGTTATTTCAATTGTCACATTAAGTGCGTTTGTACTCGGACTCGTCACCTCGAAGAAAACGGCTGCGACCTTTGCGTGAAGTCATGTGGAGTATCGTCGCGCCTCAATGTTTCATGCGCTTTGGATATTGGAGGAAGGACACCAGACATTACCTGCCAATTGCAGGCTGCGAGCTTTCGTCAGTGCTCAACTTCCGAAGACCAGAGGTGTTGCAGGATCCTGCCGCACAGCGAACCAATTGTCCACAACCATTGGCAAAACGCCATAAACCTCTGCTTTCTTCAACTTCGTTCAACCTGGTAGATGTGACCACACGGCTCAATCTTGAAAACACACCGTTCACCCTTGTGAAATCCCCGTCACCGAGATAACCTCTCATGGAGTTTGGGAAGCTGACAGCGCCAGCTCTGGCATGCGTGCTCAAATGAAGGTCAAGAAGCGCTCGCGCCAAATGCCGGAGTTCCATCCCACGCCGACATGAGGGCTGCGACAACGCCGCAACCGTGTGGCAGACGAACATTATTGCTTCACCTGCTGCTTATTCCATTATCTCTGCCTGCTATGGAAGCATGTCTGATAAACATCAAAGTTAGTCCGAGCTGCAGTGCCAATGGAACCATCTGCCGATACCTGGCAGGGCAGGCACCTATGCCAACGGACTCGATAGCAGTTCAAGCTAAGTGAAGGACCGTAATTACGATGACCACTAATCCAATGACAACATCCGTAGAAGAGTAACCATGAACGCGAATATGACATGCCGCAAGAATGGTCAGATCGATGAGAGGCTCTATATCCACATCATCTTGTCATACAAAGTCACAGATAGTATGTCCGTGCCATGTTTGACAAACACAACGGTCGTCAAGAACCATGCATCCGAGCAACATGTCAGCAAGCAACAGAAAGCGGCAACCAAAAAGCGCTAGGATGGAGGAGTTCATTTTTCCACTTGTTTCACTTATGTTCGCAAATTGTCGCTTGTTATTGCTTCAGTCTGACCTGGGATGCAAATCATCGATTTCAACGGGAATGCATTTCACAATGCAATGTCGATACAACTCGGAATCTAGCTGCTAGTACAGTATCTGCCTCTGAGCCGAATCTGGTGACTCCCTGCTTGGTGGCTGCCACCGGCGATGCGTCCGTGGAGTCCTCAGCGAGAACAGACGTTTGCTCGGTTCAGGCCCTGCAAGAGTTTGGGCCAACAAATCGGTGTGTCATCTGCCCTGTTCCTCGCACTTACTGCCCTTACTACTCTGGAAAGCTCAAGGTCTTCGTTGGTTGTCTTCGTACCCTCGCAGAACGGGCACACTGTCTCGTGTTGCAACTCTTGCAGCTAATTCCCAAGACTTGCATTCCAGGAACGATTTCGTCTTCCAGCTCGCTGCGGATCTTGCGGAATGCCTGCGGAGGTGGAGACCTGCATCAAGCTGGTACGTACACCAGTCCTCGGGCCCTCGAGCTTCAGAGCACGCACACCGCGCTTTTCGGAACGTAAATCCGGCCAATCACCACGCTCGCTTCTCTCAGAGAGTAGGCTGGCTGTCCTCCTTTGCCAAACTAGAGCCCTTGCGCGAAAGCCTGGATGTGCAGACCGGCCAGTCCTGGGGATCTCACACGAAGGGTTGAGGATGTCGGTGATCTCTTGGGTTTTATCCGCGATTTCAAGGTACTCCGATTGCAGCTGGCAGCTAGATGAAAAGCATAAGCCGTAGCAAAGCACCAAGCAGTCTGAATTGAATGATACTGTCGCAGAGAACATCACTCTGTGTGGATGTCCTCTTTCGGCCTGCTACCGCAGCACTGCTGGCCCATGGCTGACAAAGGAATCCAAGCGACTCCAAAAGAGCCCGATGATCCTGCTCTTCACATCATGCATTCTACCGAATGCCAACGAATGCTCTGTCGTAGTGCGTGGAACATGTCAGGCAGGCTGGCGCATTCTGTTATAGGTCTTACCGAGCAATGGCTCAGCGAGAATGTCAAGTATGAATGCAATAACGCAGAAGACGTGGGGGAGTCGCACTTACTACTGTGTGCTTGCACTGTACGATGCTAGCCGTGTTCAAGATGATGCCGAGGTACTGCTCGCAGCGAACACATGAGCGGGAGCGAAAGGACCCGTTGCAAGGCGTTTGCCGACACCTTCGACCGGTCCCGAAGCTAATTGCAACAAGTGAGCCGCGCTCCCCCTAGCCCGTAAGTGGAACGTAGGAACAATGGATGAACCAACGAAACAGCACAGGTCAGTTCTTGAACAATCTCCGATAGAGGTCTTTGGTTGGTTGTGTAGGGCAAGTGCACTGTCCAGGAAGTTGAGACTGGATTCATCCCCACGGGCTTTTTCACTGCTTTGTCTTTGAGAAACTCGCCGGAACTAGACGCAGGCTGACAGCACATGCCATCCAGATCTTGATCCTTTGCTCCAGTGTCCTCCTTGCCCCAAGAGCGTTTGGGGTGTCCCTGCTTGTCCAACAGCTCTGACTCCTTGCCGGACCGCTCTGCCGAACCTGGCAGGAGCACACGTAGACCTCGATATCGTCAAAGAAACCCGCCGCCAGGAAGAGCAGCGGACGCCTCAGGATTGCACTGCAGCATGATAAAGAGCACTTGTCCCTTACATCGGAGTGCCTTTCAGCTTTTGCAGCCTGAAGACACCGCGCTACCTGGTCCGAGGCTTCTTTGTAGGTGGTTCCGCAAGCTTTGTCAGTGCCTCGTAGGACCTCGGTGCAACTTGCGCGATTCCACAAAAGGGAGCAAAGTTCTTCAGGCGATTTGTACTTGGCCTGGGGCTTCCCCGCAACGTAGTCTGCCACTGCTTTGAGAGCTCCGTTCCCAAATACTTCGGCCGAGAAATTGCGGTCCGGAGGTCGCTTATCCTTGCACAACCAGCAGTGCATATTTATCGCTGTTGCGGCAGATCTACCCCGCCGGCAGTAAGACTCCCTCAAATTAGATGCCTACTGAAGATGCCCCCTGATTCGCATGCCGGAGCTGTCGACTCTCTACAACCTATAACCCTCTTAAGGGTCCAAGTACCAAATCCGCCGAGGCCACAGGCAGACGTCTTGGGGGTTGTTAGCTCAAGTACCCTCCAGCTGATCCTCCTCCCTGAAAGTCGCCACCCACCCGTTTTCTGTCATTTTTCGGTCTTTTTCGCCCTGCCCCCCTAGCCCCTCTTCCCCCCTCGTGTTCCCGCTGTTTGTCCGCTTTTCCCGCCCCCCTCCCCTGGTTTCGGCGCCCGCGGCACCTGCTGCTGCCCTGCCCCTCCTGCTCTTTGCTTTTATGACCAACAGATGTCGACAGGACGTAGGTGCACAATTTCTCACGAAAACTAGTCTTGTACAATGTAACCCTTGTACGTGTAATTTGACAACCACATTCTCACTTTGTGACAGCCACCCATATATAGGGCTGCCCCGCTTCTGCCTCCGCACTGCTCTTGCACATTACAAAAGCAAGTGGATGAGTTCTGTCACAGTGCTGCTCTCCGGCAAGCCGAGGCGGGCAGCGTAGCCTTAAATTGTCAATATAGGCGGCGTAGTGTTGAAATTGTCATATACTCTCCAAAACGGTAACCTACATAACTGCTATCCTGAACCCAAGTACCTACTTATTGGGTCCTTTGGACCCTTAGGGCCTTAGGGTAACATCTTCGATCAGCCAGGTAAACTGAAACGATGGTTGGCATGTATGGGAGCCTGCCGGAGGAGCCAGTTCTAGTCAAGTATTGATCCTGCGTGCTCAACGCAGCTGTCCTTCGCTCCCACCGCATCTGGATGTCTCCTGCTAGAAAGCGTATCACCTCGAAAGAACTTTCGATCAACTCCATATAACTTCTGTCAATGCAGCGACTGACAGTGAGACTTGATGACGAGGCATTGGCCACGGAACATGAGCTGGGGCGAGACAAGGGACAGCGAAACTCCACGCGAAATGCTCCATTCTGCAGATCGGCTTGGACGCAGCTCCAATCCAGGTGCAACTGCCAGGACAAAATGCACATCCACAGCAGGTCTACAACTAGCGACATACACATCGTGAGCCATGTGACAGAAGGTTGTCCCCTTCCTCCAATTGGAAATCATGAAAATACCGGAACCACATCCCTGCTTGCTGCTGAAGCCGAGAGGTCTCTCCCAATCCCTAAACCCGAATGCGGACCACAGCTCTGGAAGAGCTGGCCTCATTGCAGAAAGGGATGGGCGTCTGGCTGTTGAGGTGTTGAGTACACCGGAGGGCAGAGGGCGAACTCTTGCGGGAGCATTTCCGCGGCGTGTCATATTCACTCCTTCGAGCAAGTGACGGAACGACTTTCGAGACGAGGAGGTAACGAACGCCAAGATCAAGTGCTTCCAACCCGATTGACACCCAAAACGCGGAGCAGAGATGAAGCTGTGAAAGGCCGGGAATCCTCAGATTTAGTTGGCAGAGGCAGTATCCAGGCTCCCCAAAATTGTTCTTCAAGGTCGTGATGTTGTCCGCGTCCGGCGGAACCTTGGCAGCCGCTCATTCAGAAACAAGCAGGAGATGGCAAATGTCGCCCTCCTCTCTTGGAACCTGGAGTGACTGCAGCAGGCTTAGATTGCTGACAGCGCGGACACTTCCGCTTGCCGCCAAAAGAACTCGAGCTGAAGCTGGCACGGACGGCACCTGCCCGCTTCCTGAAGCTTGGGTTAGCATCGACATCGCTACATTTCACAGGTAAGCCCAAGCCCAGCTGAGCCTTCTTTGCCTGCGGATTCTGGAGCTCCAGAGCAGTCCATCGCATGCGAGGCGGGATCTGCTGCGCCTGAATCTCGGCCACCGTCTGGAAGAATGGAGGAGAGAAAGGATGAAGACGAGCTGACAAAGGTCTCCGGACCTCCTTGCTAGCTGCTGAGTTCTTACGTGTCTCGTCAACTTCCCGTTGGGACGCTATCCCTGTCCTTCGTCATCCTCTTTCGACTGCTGGCCTTGCTGGTCCGATAGCCTCTGAAGCAGTAGCTGAGTTGCTGTCCTAGGCCTAGGTGCTCTCGGCTACAGACGTGCTGCAGACAAGGTGTGCGCCTGACACTTGCTGCAGACTTCTGCTCCGGAGTTTCGTCCTCCCGTTCCTGACGGCGGACAAAGGTACATTGAAAGCGTGCTGTCAGATAAGGGGGCACAGCGCCGAGATTCCGTTGGTGCTGGAGAGCCATTCACAATCCTCGAGAGATGCGTGTGCGGAACCCGTCTAGAGCTGACTGGCAGCCATGGCACTCCACAGTTTGCTGAGCTTTCGGGGTCGACAGCTCTGCCTGAGAGGGGAAGCGCGCCACCAATATCGTGAACAGGCTGGAAGGCTGCCTCTTTCAGCCCGTCGGTCTTGGACTTATCCGGCGCTCCCTCGGTAAGACAAGTCGGTCGCTGGGTGATGTTCGGCCAGCATTTCAAAGGTGCACAGTCCGTTTGTGTCGGAGATAAGGCTCCAGGGTCTCTGCTTCGGGTTCCTCCTGTGGCTTGTCCCAGATCTTCGAATAGACCTGACGCAGCACTCGGGAATAACTTCTCTTACATCGGGGGAACCTCGACCTCGCCTGGAAGTTCTTCGTTGAGTCCTGGAAGTATCCTTCCAGCGGCGCGATGCTCTCGCCAGCAACACGGAAAAGCGTCCTAAGGCAAGCAGCAGTTTCAGCGAGCTCGCAATGTCGGTACCATGATGATTCATGACAGCTGCACGACCTGAAGGCTTGAAGACATGCTGGCCAAGAGACCCAATCAAAGTTGCCTTCTGCCTGAGCCTCGCAAGCTGGATGGCTCATGGCGAAAGGAGCAAGGCCACAGTATGTTGCTTGCTTTGCATGAGGTACTCGATCTTCCTTTCTGAAACAGCATCTCGGGTTCTCTCGTTCTATTTGAGTTTCGATTTCTCCATCCCCCTCTCTGCCAGACAACATCTGTCTCGCTCTTTGATCTGCTCTGGGGCACGGGGAAAGGGCAGTCCCCTTTCCCCGCTCATGTGAGCAGCCCCGTCCACCGTTTTGGTTGACGGGCTCGGCTGTACGTGGCACCTTCGTCCTTGGGCTGGTGCCCTCACTTAGTGACTTCACGAGAACAGTTTGTTGCCAGCGAACCTAAACCCTCGAAGCTCGGACTAGAGTGCCCTAGCAAGCAGTGCTCCCGAGCTTTCGTGTTTGTTTGAGGACCGTGCTCCCGCTCGAGGTTGGGGCATGTGTTCAAGAAATAAAGGATGCCATTGCCTCGAGTACCCCGTCTCTAGCACGGAGGCTCAGACTGGTCTCTCTTTCTTTCTGCAGGGCGCAGGGGTCGTCTAGCGACCCTCAGGCCATTGGCCCGCCCAGCCCCCCCACTGTGTTAGTGAGTGGCCGGCCTTGGGGTTCTTCCAGAGTGTTGCAAAGAACTACTTAGTGTGCCCCGGGTTCTCCTGCAGCAAGCCCCACCCTTTACGCTATGTACCCCCCGCGTCCCGGCCTCATCTCCGGGCCCCTATGGCTAGCACCCACCTGCATTATTCACCTGCATCCTTGGGGCTTGCTTCGGAGTAGGTTGACGGGTCAGGCACATTGTAGTGGCTCAGGGCAACATTCCGTGGTCAGCAACAGTAGAATACTATCACACAGTTACCGCCATAGTCACCTAGTATCAAAGGATCGCCGGTGCTCCCCTTCTCTCCTGCAAGTTCCCCTTGTATGGGGTCAACAAAACAAAACAAACGGAGCAGCTCTTGCTACTTGCTGCCCCGCCTGGCTGCTGCGCCGGGGTTTGTAGTTGCTGCCAACACTAGTGACCGGTCTCTCTCTCTTTCTCTCTCTTCTTCTCACAGGCCTCAAGGGGCGTGTCGAGCCCCCCGGTGTTTAGCCCTTTGTCTGATCTTTGAAAGGGGGTGAAATTTCAGAGACGGTTGTCCGGGTACAAGAAAGAGTTCTTGTTTGTTTGAGACATGTGTTGATAGCATCTGCCTTTCTCTATACATACAATGCAATGCAATACAATATAGGACAAGGCACAGCACGACAACACAAGACAGCATAAGCCAAGACAAGACATACATGCATGCTGCATGCAAGACATCTGGCATAACAGAGCATCATACTAGATCATGTAGTAAAGGATTTCCCTGCAAGCGATATATCCATGCCACATGCCAACCCACGCTCGGTCGTTGCCAGGCCTGGACAAAGAGACTTCAGGATCTTCCTGGTCCTCCTGAACCGGAGCGGTGCCGGCCTCGAGCTTATTGCGCTCCTTGCCTGAACGCTTCAGAGGCGTAACGCTTGATGTCGCTTGATGTCTGGCATCTTCCTCTGATATATCACTCTAAAACTCTTAAACTTCACGCCTTTTTGCTCTGCCCTCGAAGGCCGGGGCATCGGGATTCGGTCGAGAACCCGGAATTTACCAGGCATTTCGCATCTGGAGCGAGTGGTGATCGCGGTCACGGGCATGCCATGGCGAAGACACCACCCAAGACATCACTTACCTGGAGCAGTCGCCAGATCGGAGAGACAATGTGGAACTTCGCATGACTGCGCTAGTCATACAACGTCGGGTCGGGCGTCGAGGTTTCGGAGCCGATCGCATGCGCCAGGGCTTGGGATGGCCAGCTGGGAGGTTCTGAGACTGGCCCAGGCCAGGGTCTCCGGGCTCTAGCACAGAGCTGACTGATGTTGACTTTGCTCCTTTCGGGCCCTGCCAGCCGCAGCCCGTGCCAGATAGAAGCTCACGGGCTGAAGCGTCTCTGAAGACAGAAACCTCTGCATGTCGAGACGCTGCGCCGCCTTCATGCAGGCCTGGTCTACATCAACTCCCAGGGCCGATAAGCCAAGCTGATTCGCGACAGCAAGAACCGTACCACGACCACAGAAGGGGTCGACGACAGTTTCAGTTGTGGGCTTCACCTTGCGGATCCAAGAGAGCACCAATGTCACGACATTGGCACCCATACCCTGTGCATAAACCTTTCGGCCTCTGGGCACAAGATCAGGGATGCTGCACTTGCCGCTCAACACCGCTCGCCCGTCATCGCCGGTCGCTTCCCAACGCGGGTCCGGTGTCCCACTGGAGATCAGGAAACAGAGAAGGTGGGAGTAGTCTGCGTTGTTGCCTCGGCGCGGCATGTCCACGGCCTCTGGATCGAAGCTGATCTTGTGCCAAAGCAAAGAAGCCCCGGCCATGTCAGCTTCCTGACAGATCATCGCAGCCTTGTCTAGCCACTGCCCACTACTGCAGATGTCGGTTTGGTAAAACACAACGATCGTCTCTTTCTTGCAGGCTCGAAAGAGCAGCCTGAGTGCTCGCCGAAACCAGGCAACGTACATGTTGAGTGGAAGGTTCTGGCCTTTCTTGATCTCAGACCAATCGGGCAAGGAGGTAAAAACACAGGAATTTTCCGGAAAGCCCGAGGTCCCCAGCTCCTGCATCCACTCCAAGGCATCTCTTTGCAAAACTCGTCGAGTCGGCTCTTTTTCGGGGGCTGTCGAGAGTGCCGTGCTGGAGCTGCGAGAGGCCCCTCCTCGCCTGAAGAGAAAGCCGAAACAGCAGCAAAAAGTGTCGCGATAGTGCGGAGGGCATCCTGCCAGCATCGGGGATTGCGGCCGGAGCCATCGAAGCAGGAAAGCGGCAGCTTGACGCTGGAGACGGCGGCAGCACGTTCGGGTTCCGACGCGAAGAGCAACCAGAGCTATAGGCCTCACTTCCCGCCCGTACCTCCGGCCTCCATCCTGCACCTCCAAGACTTCCGCCAAAGTGTGCTCGGCGACGGTGCAAATTGTGCTTTGGCCTAGTCTGTGTGCATAGCTGCGCGTGCACAGGTGCTGCTCAGAAAGTAGGCTAGTCAGCGGGTCTTCACGACACAGACTGCGCAGTCCCAGTTAAGCTGGCGGGGAAGTAAAGTAAGATTGCCAGCCACAGGAGCCAAAGAAGCCTCCGAATTCCTGAAGCTGTACCGCTGCAGCCTCGTCTTCCTGCAGGAGACATCAGGAGGCTCCAGACCCACAAAAACCCGGGGCCCTTGGGCCTGCGAGAGCAGCTGGCAAAGAGGGACCACTTCGACAGCCAAGTTTCCTTTTTGGTGTTGTGGTATTGCACAGGGCAAGCTTCTCTGCGCCAAGCCTTTGCTAAATCTTTTGCCATGTCGCTCTGCTGATGCTGTCCTCCCTCCTCGTGTGTGCGGAAAGCGATGAGCTCATGATGGATGCCACCTGCAATCAGTGAAGCCCAATCTGCAACTTCTCGGAACGGTGTATAAAGGTGTCTGTTCAGCCAAGTGACCAGAGTCTCCGTAGTTGAAAACTCCAAAGATCAATCCAACAAAGTCCTCTGATCGGGTTCGATCATGAGACACTCTGCCAGAACTGAAGAACTTCCACAGCCAAGCGACTGCATCCATAATCTGGTACTCCAGTTGAGTTCGAAGATCCACATGGCTTGGAAAGCAGGTGATGTGCGGATGCGAGTGGTACCAGCCCAGGACTCTGGTACGGCACTGCAGCACCTTCACAGTCAGTTCACAGTCCATTTGGATGCACTGCGACGCTTACCCAGCAACTATCAGCAACTGGTGTGAGCACTCTGTGTCTTTGGGGCTATCCACGCCACGCTTGGCTGCCCTTGCCCAGAGAGCCTTGTTCAACTCATCCGCCACATGGACTGCCTTCAGGAGTTGGAACCAGTAGCCCAAACACAAAACGAGTGCTGGCGCACTGTAGGGGCAGGGAAGCCAGCAGTCTTCCTAGTGTGTTCAGCGTAGTCAGGAGCTGTCATGTTCCGATGGCACTTTGAAGCAATGCTTCCAAGATCCCGAACGCCCAAGCTTTGCCAGCATTCCCCAGGCAACTGTGTGTGCTGATGAAACCGGTTCCAATACTGATAAGCAGTGATCATCAGTTCAAACTCTACAAGGCAGTCGGATGCACACACGACAACGCTCCTGCAAAGCTTGATCTCAGCCAACATTTATCGTCAAGCCGTGAAGTGCACTGGAAAAATCGAGTGTACTACCGCACCTCGACCAACTGCTCTGGTGCGATTTCGACTCGATCTGGTTGCTTGTCACTTCGGCGCCTCGGCAGCACGAACGGATGAAAACTGTACTCACAGGATTAGCCAACTCTGCCGAATCAAACATGCGCTTCACAGGTCCAACATGTCGAGGGACAAGGTCATTGAACACCATATCCGAACCTGCTTTGCAATGCCGTGCTCGTGGAAGGCTTTGGTGCTGGATCCCAGCCTCAGAGCCTTCGACGTCGCCAAGCAGCAATCCCATGATCTCTTCATTCTCACTCATTAGGGCATGAGCCAGGCATGCCTCGGATCCAAGAAAACAGAACCGTTTGTAAAGGCTCATCGCTCAGCCGAGCCTGCGCCTTGTCTCTGCACATCTACTCATGTCCCAGCGACATGATACACCTGCTCTGACAGGAGCAACCGACCTCCTTCAGCCATGCCATGCTCAAAGCGCAGCCGGGTTTAGTGTCTCTCTGCGTGGATAACTTTGTTGCTATGTGGGACCTCGGGACCTGTGAAGCTGAGCTAGGACTAATTCATTAGCAAACGCATGTCTGTCTGTCGGTCTGTCTGTCTACCTCTCTATCTATCTATCTATCGATGCATCTTTCGAAGCTATATACCTATGTAGCTGTGCATCTACGTGCGTGCAGACGTACAAGCACATGTGCACACACACACGTGTACATATACATATATATATATATATATATACACACACATATGTGTATATATATATACACACTTAAGTACAGGGACATACATATGTAATTATACATCCATCTTCATACGCTTGTCCATCTGCTTTATATGTCTAATGGTCTAACGTATTGATGAAGGTACTTTTGTGCATATGCGCTAGCTCACTCATGCGTGTTCATGGGTCACAGACAGCTAAATACGCAGCTGTCTATCAGAGTGCGTAAGAATTGGTACATACCTTCGATGGGTTTGATGCGGTCACCAGCATGCATGGACGTCTTGATTTGCTACAAAGGCCTCCTCCCCTCTGCTGGAAAACGGGCCGGTTCAGCGACTTGGGCCCGCTCAAAGGCAGCAAGATACAAACAGTCACGCGTATGAACATGTGAAAGTATCATGGATTGTACTGTTATGCTTACATTGAACTGGGCGATACACTAGCAGCACGAGCAGTGCACTGAAAGCCTTTCGTGCGATACGAATGCAAGCCGCAAGCCATTCTACTCTCACGAACGGATCTCTGCAAAGCAGCACACCATCAACCGGCGTGAATGCATGAACCCACCCACCCCCACACCTACACTTAAACACGCACACCCACACACTCTCACACACATCAATGTGCATGGCGATCCCTGGCTCGGACCTCTGCGTCGAAGAGCACCTCGGAGTGCTCCGCAGGGTTTGTGCCTACAGCTTGCATCGGCATAAAGGCTCCCATCAATCAAGAGATGCCAGACGCAACGTCCTTTGAGGCGAGACTGGAGCGCTTGGTGCAGAAGCTATGGCCAGACACTCCTGTGGTGCTGCCGCAACCGTCCAGGCATTTGCCAACACCAGGCCGCCACCCTTTGGCCTGTGTCCTGTGACACCATAGGATGGGAAGCCCAAGTTTGGCCCAAAGAACGGCCCTTCCGAAGACCTGCTCCCTGCGCAGGCGGCAGGCAAACTTCTGACCGCCCAGCACAAAAAGTGATGCTGGGATTGGACCCCTTCCACGAATCATTGCATTATACAAGAAGCAAACCACACCAAGAAAAATGCGATGTAGACGTGTCAAGTCTAAGCTATTTTGTCAACAAACCAGTTAGCTTGAACTGAGCACCCGTTGGCAGACCTGGTCGCTATTGGGCAGGCGATTGAAACTCCTCTAGAAGCCGGCATGTTGCAAAGGACGCAGACTGGCCCTGGACAAAGTGGTGGCCGTACAATATGGTTAGTATCCCGACCAAGCCTGATTCCGCTCCAGCACTCCCGGCTGCATGCGAGCATCTTTGTCACATGCACGAAACAAGCTTCAGCTCGTCCCAGACGAGTTCCAGTTAAACACTCTCTGGCTATGGACGTCATTGTTTGACTGACCGGTTTCTCATGAGCCGCATGCGTAGTAAGCTTTCTCTCTCTTGCGGGAGAATTCGGGAGACAGACAGTTCTGTGCGGTGGCCCGCTTTTCACCCGCATCCGGGCTCAGAAATGAAGACAACCTGAACAGCAACGCTGAGATGGCAACTCCACCGAGTCTGAGTGCTCCACAGCTCAGAAGCAAACCAGAACGCCGTTCCGAGAATACATAGGAGAAAGCCACGAGATGATGCCGACATACTCTCACACTACTAGCGAAACCTTCTCTCATCGCCCAGCCATGCTGCCTGGCCTTCATGAAGGGCTCAGCTCGTTAGTCCCGTCCGCGCGACGGGTCGGGTGCCATGAATGCCTCCGTGCAGCAAGCAAAGCAGCAGGCAGCAGCATTGCAATGCGCGTTCAGCCATGCAATGCTTTCGCTTCTGGGAGCCTCCAGCTGTTGGTCCAGATCGTCGACATCTGGCACCACCTGCCTCCTGGGGCCTGGGCTCGCACCGCGAGCCTCCCGGAACTTTCAATGCACTGCAGCTCGCACCCAACCTGCTCTCCACAAGGTCGAGGTCTTGTGTGACTGGGAGCATGAAGCTCATCTAACTGAGGACTAAAACGATGGAGCTTGCGAGAGTAATTAGGCGATGATCCTCCGATGGTAAATTCTATCTTTAGCAGTCCCGTGCCTTTCGCCCGCGACCACCGCGTGGCCTTGCTTCTGCCAGGGCTTCAGAGCTGGGCTGCGTGGATGAAACAGCGCTAAGGTAGAGGCGACAGCGACGTCAGGACTGAAATTGATATGCAGCTAGCGCCAAATTTTTTGGAGCCACACTGACAAATTCACCCAGCCACTGAAAATATGGCGAAGATCTGACCGCCGTTGGAACACGGTACAGCGAGCGAACACTTCGCGTGACCCTCTCTTTAGGATCACCCGAAACAGTAGACCTATTTGTGTAGATGCACAGCCATGTACTGAGCACCCAGCCTTCGGGGGGGAGGCGTCGGGGACGCTTCCCGATACGTTGCCTGTTGGCTGCTGAGATTAAGTAATGGCTTCCCGGCAGGAGCCCAAAAGCAGCGCCCAAATTGCCTTGTAGGAATTGTTCCATGACCCAGCCTTAGTGAGAGACATTGAGAATGCGTCCGGTTGTGAGAACATTTCAAGCCGACTTCCAAAGTCCAGAAAAAAGTTGGGAGCACGGCTCCGCCTCCGCCATTCCAAGATCCTCTGCGTCAGCGCAGGCAGAGGCAAGTCTCAGGAAGACCGAGGACCAGCCGACCGGCCTCCTCGTCCTCCGCCCCCCCGGGCGTTGTTCAGTATTCTGGGATCCTGCACAGGCCCAGCCAAAAGACAAAGAGATGCAATGAGCCGCACGGCTTTGCTTCTGCCTCGCTTCTTTCGAAGGCTTCTGCAAGCACCTTGGGCGACTGGGACTATGAAGGAAGTTCATGCATGTTTCGAGGATGGAGCGAATTTCTCTGAAGAAACCGTGCACCAACGGTTTCACTTCAAACGTTTCCAGACCCGTCTTGCAGCCCCAGCACGGGGTGTACCCAAGCGGCAATTACAGTAAAACCCTTTACGCTCGGGTGCCTGGCTGGAGTACTATGTAATTCGTTTATGTGGGAACCGTCAAAGGTAGGCCAAAACAAAGACTGCTATTGACATTGCCTGAGGTTCGCACTTCTGCCAGCGGCTCGGAGAGGCTGGCATCCGTGTCCTTGCTACGTCAAAGCGCGAGGGAACCAGCAAGAAATCCAGATTCTGCGAGTCACAAACGACAAAGCTGAGGTGCTGGCGCGGATGTCTCGCTCAAGGGCATTGGCTGCTTTCTGCGAAGATCAGCTTTTGAGGACAAGAGAACACAAGCGCCGCCCAACGGCCAACAAAGTATCAAGCTTAATTCGAGGCCACTATGTAGGCTTTAGCGTAGACTCGCCAGAGACCGTGGACCCAATCAGAGTCATTGCTTCAGCCCGGCGAGAGTAGGATTCGTGCCGGAAGTATGCACGACGCTGTCGCGAGAGCAAATGTATTCCAAAGGTTTCGACCTAAATGCGACCCGAGATAAGCTCCGGCAGAAACGCGCGGAGGCAGCAGGGTGACGAGGCCAAACTCGGGCAACACTTCCAGGGAACGAGAGCAATTCGGAACTGCAAAAACTCCAAGACTCAAGCCAGAACTAAACCCTGAACCCCCAAACTGCACACCCTAATCTCAAACCTACACGCCTAAATTTAATCCCGAAGCCTTAAACCCCGAACCCTTGGGCTTTAAGCCTACCTACCCAAACCCCAAATCCTAAACCCAACGCCCTAAACTACGCAAACCCAAAAGCCATAAGCCGCAAAACCCGAACCCTACTCAAACCTAAAGCCGGTTCAGAGAATTCGGGCCTGAGGGCTCTAGAAAATGGGAATCCAGAGGTGGCTCCCGCGCTGCGACACATGACTGTGTTTCGGTCCGAAATCAGATCAACACCGCAACGCAGCCCGAACCGCCACCAGCGCCGATGCTCGAAGTTTGCAACCTGCCCTGAAAGCAAAAAGACCCAGTGTTACCATGGTCTGCAATGACCCTGCGCGACTTATACTCTTGCTCTGGAATTCTCACGACAGCTTGCAGCAAGACTTGCAGACATCCCGGGCGCACCGTGTCCAGCAAAGCGAGCATGATGCACAACGCAAACATGACCTCCGTCCAGGCGATCAGAACCCTCTGTGTAGTTGCAGTCACCAAGTGGCTTCGAACTGTGTGTGACTGTCCCGCAATGGCTGGGGGGTGTTGCTTGCGCGCATGCACACTGAGACAGCCGTATAGAAGCTGCAGGGACTTCGCGTGTCCACGCTGTCAATCTCCCTTCAAGTTCTGCGGCCATGGAGCTGAGCGCTTGCCATTGGTTCCCACCTGTCGAGAGAAGTATGAAGTTCGCTGAAGACGGCACATTGCTGAGGACGTTGGGCTTGCAGATGCGCTGAGAGCTGCACCGCCATTATGTCTGGTCGATCTTTCCTCAAGGTAGCACTGCAGCGAACGTGGTTGATTCCAATGGTCTCAATAGACTGACCTCTGATGCTTCACGGCCCACGATGGTCCCAAAATGCGGAGCAAGTCTCAGGCGGCAAATGCTAATCTCATCACGAGCTATTCGGAGATCTCGGACGCAAATGGAGGTGACCTCCTTGTCCTGCACAGCTCCACACAGAAGCAAGAAGGCGACACACGCTCTGCAGCTCCATTACCTGGCTGAACTGTCCGAAGGCCTCTGCGACCTAGACTAGAGCCAACCCAAGTCCAGATGACCTCTAAATCCTACCTCGTCTCAATAGACGCCAAATGAAAATATTTGCAAGTTGGTGACCTGGCAATACTCGTAGAGCCCATCGGCTTTGCCGCAGCTTCCGGTGGCTGCCTTGCGTCTGGACTCTGTTGACAGGTGGGGGACCCAGAGGCAAAGCAGGATGTCAGGCCCGTCCTCGGCGAGGAGCACATCAAATTATAGTGAATGATTTACAGGGAGAGACACATATAACATGTACATACGTCCAGTCTGTGTATATTATACATGACATAAACATGCATTATGCCTTCATGCATGCATGCAAGCATGCATATGTCTTTGCCGATACTCTGTGTGTGTGTGTCACTCAAGACTGAACACGGTACTCCTCTTCATCACCCCGCTCATCATCATCGTCATCAGCACCGTCAGCATCAGACACAGCAGCACCATCGTCACCGTTATCACCATCGTCATCGGCATCACTCAGAAGCATGAAAGCTAATGGGGGTTGCAGAAACGCCTGCAAGAGCCACGAGGCGTTGCCATGGAAGATCGAGTGGGTCGCCAGCTCAACAACTGGCATTCAGGGCGTGCTGGCAGCTGCTGGCAGCGGGTTCAGGTAACAGAGGCAGTCGACTCTCGACTTGACAACAGAGCGTTGAAGGATACCGAGCATCGAATCAAAGAGGAAGACTCAATTTCCCAGTTACAACAATGACAAGTCGAGTCTTGAAACTCTCCTGATGCAGGGATGCGGCACACGCGCTGACTGGCACTTACTCAATTTGCCTGGAACGTTACTGTTGACGATGTTCATCTTCACACCGTGACCTCACCGGCGGACATTGGCTGACTCCCCTGGTGACTGGGCTGGTAAGTGTAGTCATCGTCCACATGAGAACTGTGAGCACTGGCTCTAGACTCTAGACACGCTCAACATGCATGACTATGCGCACTTGATCGAACCACAGTCAAGTGAACTGCTGAATTCAGAAACACCGGAGACCGGGAGTGAATCAGTGAGGAATGAGGGCGCCGCCTTCGTAAACGCCGCCTGCCACAGGAATGACGAGCGAGTCTGAATGCTTCCTTGCCTGCACTTACCTAGTAAAGGAGGGCATGGCGCCCCCTGACCCTAAGCTGGCTGAAGCTCGGCCACACGGCAGGATCGAAGGATCGTCTTATCGAAGGCACGTCATGATGAAGCGCACCTGGCTTCTTCGGCTTGCCGTAGTCGTAGCTGTCGTCGTAACGACCGCCACCACCACCTCTGTAGTTATAGTCCCAGCCCATACTGCTCCAGTCCTGCCAGCCCCAGTCGGACCAGTCTTTCCTGTCCTCAGGGCTCTGTGCTGCACAAGCCATCACTCGCGATCACTGTTGTTGTCTTCTTCCTTGCTCAGCCGCCAGGCCTGGCTGCCTCTGCCACTTCCCCAGCCGCCCTCACAGAATCGATGCGGGAGCTGGTGCATTCACACGAACGGTCCAACTGATTCAGCCCGCCATCCCAGGATATCTGACTTGGCGAGCTCGCCTCATAGCCGTCGTCAGACACGACGTGCCTCTGTCTGGATTGCGACCGCGAAGTTGCCTGCGACGTGCAGGTGGCGGATTCTATCGACCGTGTAAAGCTTCACAGCGTACATTCTGCCAACATCCTTGCTGCGACTTTATGAGGTTGTCACTGATGCTGTGGCTTTAGCCATGTTTATATGCTCAACTGTGCCAGTATTCCTGGCCTGGCTGTCAGGGTCGGCACGTACTCTCCTCGCAGGTCATGTTGCAACGAAGCCCACTAATGTGGCAACGGGTATTGTGGTGGCTTTCCAGTCCTCCGACTTGGAGAGGATGCATCGGTGTATCCCTGCACCAGACCGTATTGCAGAAGCAAGCCCTGCATGGAGATTAAATCAAGCCCCAGCATACCAGACACTTAGGCGAGCTGGCCTCATAGGCTTTGCGTTTGCTGGCCTGGTCTCACCGAGTGGGCAGGTTAAGTCGACGAGAACTGCAGAACGAATGTGGAGGAGTTCAGCATGCTGCACACCCTGCCGCCACAAAAAACACATTAAAACAAAAGTGTCAACCCTGGATTCCCGGACTTGGGTTGCCACCGACCGGTCGTCGCCTCTGCCTGGCAGAGAGGTTCTGCCCTGAGAGACTTGCAAGCCTGCAAGATCCTCCAAGTGGCATACAGTAGCGTGAACATGAAGGTAGGTGACATCTACTGCCACCAGCACACCATCATGTCAGTGAATGACCAAGAATGACACGCAGCCTTCGCTCTCGCCACGGGCATTCCGGGAGATTGCCTCGTCCTCCAGGGCAACAAGAGGGGTCCTTCTTACGTGTATGTAGCAACCCGACTCTGAGCTGCAAGCAACTTCCAGCATTGAGCCCTGAGGCACTTCAAACGTGCCTCGCATCTCTCGTAAGCTCCCTGAAGAACCTGGACAAAGCGACGTCCTCTCGGTCTGCACATCACCCCCGAGACATGTCCAAAGCAGCATGCCCAAAGCGCATCCCCCACCCCTGCTTCACTCTGCGGTGCCACTGCAACACTGTTAGTTGTTTGAGCTCCACGCATCCGCCAGTGGTTCGGACAAGCTCTCATCCAGGTCCTCAGGACCCACCGGAAGCCGCGAAGCCAGGAAGCTGAAAGTTATCGAAGCCCGCCTTAATGTCACACTCCAGGTTGTGGGCCGCTTGCTGGGCGGAGCAAATTCATGCAGGATCGTTCACCAGACAAATCGCTCTACATGGTTCTACTTAATCAGACAGAGCATTCAGCACAAAGACCCGCAGCATCTTCAGCAAACCAGCATTGGCACATGTCATGTTCAAGTCCGCGCGGGCCTTGTCTCGCAAGGCAAGCAGGATCGACAAGGCCATCATTACCTCCCCGGGCAAAGTGGCGGACAGGGACTTCCCAGACATTCAAGCCGAAGAGTGGCTGGAGTTGCTACTGCGTTACGTCTGCCCTGCTAGTGCTGCAATGCTACATCTGCTGCTGGTGCAGCTGGCGTGTTCAATAATTCATCACTTGCCGAGCTTGTAGACTTGTTGCACTTCGCGAATAAGCAAAGGCAAAGCCTTTCCAGGGGATAGCCCGACACTCCTTCGTAGGACAGTGCGCATCTGCCGCCGAGGCTCTGATCGCTTGCCGTTTGTTCCGACCTTCAGCACCCCCTAAAGCCTTGAGTGAAGCTCAATTCCCCCCGCCGCCAATACTTTCAATAATAAATTCACATATTGAACTAACTCCATCGATCAACAGCGAAGGAGAATCAAGGTTGTCGCTGCCAGGAGTGCAATCGAAAGCCGGGGGCCGGACGACCAGAATGTCTGGGCGGCCCTTCCTCGGCTCCGCTCTGCGAAAGGAGCGAAGACATCTACAAGGTGGCAATTGTCATCGCCGAGGCTTGGGAGAGGCGTGCAGGATACGTCATCAAGCGTCTTGGATTTGGTAGACAACTCACCTTCTACTTCCGAGAACAAGGATGAGCTTGGAAGAATCAAGATTCGCGTCCAGCTTCACTGTAATGACTCACTGTTGAGACAGGCTTCAATCGGCAAATGCTCATCTCATCCTTGGAGAGACGGAGCTCCCTGGAACATGCCGACGCCACCTCTCTGTCCTGCGACACTTAGCAACGCCCTGCCAGCATAATGGCACATTTGCACATCACGTGTTGCTTGCAATTGAAGTGGTACGTGAATACAGTATACAATTTTTATTTTGTAACTCTTGCGGTGCAATTCTAGATTCGACATTCGTGGACATAGCACTTCTTCCGAAGGCAGCGTTGGACACACCGTACAACCGCTTTAGACACTGCACATATACTTCCCAGGACGACCAGGGCACGCTACGACAAGAAGGTAATTTCACCGACTTTGTCCCGCGGTCTTCATCAGCTGATCAAGCCGTTCTGAGCGCCACATGTAAGATCCTGTAAGGCTGATGGTCGTGAAACCATTGCACACAGAGCTCCAGTCGCAGAACCACGCCAACACACTGCCCAGACAGACGCGAGCTGATGGATTCTGACTTTCAGGCGCACATGCACGCACTTTGGGTAGCTCATGTTGTGGGCAGCCTGCATTCAAGTTTGCTGGACATCTTACCTGCACAACATCGGACTTAGTAGATTAACACGCGGCGCCAGTTGAAGGCCTGAAGGTATCGCATGTTTCACCTGACCGCGGCCTGCTGCTGCAGCGCTTACGTGTGGTATGAGATTGCAGTGCTGTTGCTGTTAACAGCTGTGCATGGCTTCCTGTGAAAAAGTGACAGTTTACTGTCCATTTTGTCTTCGAGCGCACCCACCCGCTGAATCCCGTTGACCTTGCTGTCATAATTGCCACGTGTAACCGCCAAGAGTGGATGGATCACCTTTTCAGCTTCGCCTTTCAAAGCTAAGGCAGCTAAGAGAGCCAAACTGCAGGTTTCAGCTGGCCAACTTGGCATGGAGTTGCAGAGAACACGTGCTTTCCACCCTGCGTGGGCTTCTGGAATCGATCTTAATGACCTGCTCCGGGAGGCATAGCCTGACGATTTTCTTCCTTCCACGAACCGCCTACGGGTCCAGGTTGCTGGCAGACAAATATCGCATTGCCATGGCACGTGCAGTAACCAAAAACACAAGAGCAGGCAGCACCATTGACAACCGTGTGAGACATCGGGGAGTTGGTTTGTGGCTGATTTTGACTGGCATCGCGCAGTACTTACACATGTCTTTCCTGAAGATGCAGATGCACCAGCATTCTGTCCTGGTAATACTCGTAGAGTCCATCGGCCTTGCTGCTACTGCCGGAAGCAGCCTGATCGCAAAGCACATGTCTTCAGCACCCGGCAGCCACAACATTCCGAGAAGGTAGTCCCACGCTCGTACACTAGAGCGGTCCTGTAACAGCCACGATGCATTCGGGTGAAAGATGGAGTCGGTCGCCATCTCCACGACTGGCCGCCGGCAGATACTGCTGTCGACAAGTAAAAAAGCTCACAGAGCTCTACTTGTCTGAGCTCTGGGGAGGCACCTGGCACAGATTTCTGAACGATGTTCAGCTTGATGCCGTATCCTCGCAGAAATACTTGCACAGCAGCGAATGCCAGACGCTGTGTACGTGCAAGTTCTGCCTTCGAACAACGGCTTACAATAGGTGCTGCGGACCGAGCTCCCGACGGTTGTAAGGCTCAGTCGGCCTACCTACACCGGGCGTAAGAGCAGAGGCGTGCAGAATGGAAGCCGGAATGGAGCTGCCTCTGCGGCTGCCGTTGCCCTGGCATTTTCATGTCTGCATAGAAAACACGAGTGCTTCAACCTGCACTGCTTCCTCGCCTCGCGACGGTCCATCTTTAACTCCTCCGCACTCTTGAAGCAAGCAAAGGCTTCTCTTGATGCGGCAAAACGGCCACTGCATGCCAAGTCGCCTTGAGCACGGACGTGCCCAGAAGCTGTCACGACCGCCACGTGCCGGGGCAACGCCCCGCGGCAGCTCCAACTAGCCGCACCACGTCTACTTTGAGCCGGCGCCGGCCACAGAATGAGTGATACGTCTCATACATGGCACTGACTATAATACCGTTTATGCGATAAAGGTGTTCCTCCACTGACACTGGATTTAGCTGCTGACACTGCCAGAGTGCGAGTGGACGAAGGACAAAAGGAGGCACGGAGGGAGGTCGCGTCAAGCACCCGGGGCATCAAGCCCGCACGCATAATATGTGCGGACTGTTGGGGAGGGAACCTGGGGTGGGCAGTTCGCAGTTTCTATGTAATCTCATGCAAAGTGGAAGGTTATACGCTCATGTATGCAAATGCACAGATTCGGTCGCTGGGGCATACTTGTCGTTGAAGAAAGTACTGCACTACCTTGCGATACAAATGCACGCGGTGACCACTAAGTTTCCGAGTCTGACGAGTGCGCACGCAGGCCCCTAAGGCAACAGGCCCACCCGACTGCTCGGGCTGGTAAAGGGAATGTGAAAAATGGAGAGCATGGCGGCAATATTCAACACTCAAGCACAAAATATGACTCACATACTTTCTACACGCGGCTACTCCGACGGCATCAACTTTTAAGATGCACTACGTCACTACGTAGACACAAACGTGCTCGTTCCAACTCTCTGTCTCTCTCTCTCTCTCTGTGAAAATCCGCGCAGGTGTTGGCGCAGGCTGAGGTCGCAACGCCGGCATGGTCAAATGGAGCTCTTTTGTCAGCTCGCTGTCCTGCAAAAAACATGGAACTTCTGACATCCCTTCCCAGCAATTTCACATCTCGTGCTGCAACAAAAACACTACAGCTGCTCACGCACGTTTTCCGCAGCAGGGCCAGATCCGCTCTGCATGTGCCGGAGGAGGTTAGTATCCTCCGTCTGACGACCTGCATATGTATACAACAACCGGCAGACAGCCAGACGATTAAGGCACAATGCATGTGGGAACCCTGACGGCAAGAGTTGAAACAGGCACTTGTCCCGGTGAGCTACCGGTCACTAGATTGCACACGGAGTCGGGGAGCACCAACTGTAACCATGGCATCCCTGACAAGTTGCCGGACTGTGGCACACATGGTCGCCAGGAGGACACGTCACTGGGCAACCTGTGCTTGCCGGATGACAGCTGTCCGTCATGGTGGTGGAATCATGGCACATCACCTCATCCATGCCACAGTGGACTGGACAAGAGCTGGGGGAACAGTAGCTGTATCCATCGCAGGTGTCGCATGGCGGCGGCACATGGCACACATTGTCACCGGGGGGACAGGTAACCGGGCACCCTGTGCTCTTCGGATGGCAGCTGTCCGTCATGGTGGTGGAATCATGGCACATCACCTCGTCTATGCCACAATACACTGGACAGGAGCCTGGGGAACAGTAACTGTGTCCCTGACAACCGTCGCATGACGGCGGCATGTGGCAAACTTGGTCACCGGGAGGACATGTGATCGGGCAACCTGTGCTTGCGGGGTGGCAGCTGTCCGTCATGGTTGTGGAATCATGGCACATCACCTCATCCATGCCACAATAAACTGGACAAGAGCCTGGGGAACAGTAGCTGTGTCCATCGCAAGTGTCACATGGTGGCGGCATATGGCACACATGCTCACCGGGAGGGCATGTGACCGGGCAACCTGTGCTTGCCGGATGGCAGCTGTCCGTCATTGTCGCGGAATCATGGCACAGCACCTCATCCATCGCACAATAGACTGGACAAGAGCTAGGGGAACAGTAGCTGTATCCATCGCAGGTGTCGCATGGCGGCGGCACATGGCACACATTGTCACCGGGGGGACAGGTAACCGGGCACCCTGTGCTCTTCGGATGGCAGCTGTCGGTCATGGTGGTGGAATCATGGCACATCACCTCGTCTATGCCACAATACACTGGACAAGAGCCTGGGGAACAGTAGCTGTATCCGTGGCAGGTGTCACATGTGGCCGGCACGTGGCACACCTGGTCGCCGGGAGGACACGTGACCGGGCAACCGGTGCTTGCTGGGTGGCAGCTGTCGGTCATGGTGCTGGCATCATGGCACGTCACCTCATCCACGCCACAATACACTGGACAAGCGCTGGGGGAGCAATAACTGTGTGCCTCGCAGCCGTCGCATGGCGGTGGCATATGGCACACGTGGTCACCGGGAGGACATGTGATCGGGCAACCTGTGCTTGCTGGGTGGCAGCTGTCCGTCATGGTTGTGGAATCATGGCACATCACCTCATCCATGCCACAATAGACTGGACAAGAGCCTGGGGAACAGTAGCTGTAGCCATGACAGGTGTCGCATGTGGGCGGCATGTGGCACACATGGTCACCGGGAGGATGTCACCGGGCAACCTGTGCTTGCTGGGTGGCACGTGTCCGTCATGGTTGTGGAATCATGGCACATCACCTCATCCATCGCACAGTACACTGGGCAAGTGTAGGAGGAGCACCAGTTGTAGCCATCACAGCCATCACATGACGGCGGCATGTGGCACACATGCTCCCCGGCAGGACACGTGACCGGGCAGCCGGTGCTCTTTGGATGGCAGGTGTCCGTCATGGTTGCGGGATCATGGCACATGATTTCCTGCGAGCTGCAGGTCACAAATTGCGCTGTGCCGTCCTTCTTCATCTTCGTCTGCAGGGCACATGCTCCCTTGCTCTCCTGGACAGTGCTCATAGTGTCTGCCAACATGGCACGGACGGTAATCAGAGACACCAGAATCGACAGCACCATGGCTGACAAACTTCCAGCGTCAAGAAGAACAAAGTCTAGCTCAAGAGTGAGTAAAATGGCTGCGAAGGTCAGGAGCACACTCTTCCAAATGCGACATGTCCGACAGTTGCAGCAGCCAAGCTATGCATGGCTTCGAGTGGAACGTGCAATGCTTGCTTGCAGAAGGCCGACACTGCACTGCCCATCGTCCTGACGGCTGGTGCAGGCGTGCATGGGCCTTGCAGCTGTTGTTGGGAGTGGCCTCTCTGAAGGGTCTTCATGATTGCACCGAGTTTCCTACCTACGGGCGCCCTTCTTACCTGGTTGCAACTTGACTTGTACTTGTTGCTACCTCGAATGTGATCTGGCTTCCTTGGACCAAGCTTGACCTTGCGCAATATTCTCAACCTTGTGAACGGCGAGGTCCTGAAGATGGCAGTCACAGGGCCCTCACCATACCGACTACGTCCGACTACTGTGGATGCTCACAGTCCCTTCGTGCGCTCAACTACTAGCAGCCTCAGCCGCCAAAGCGATTGAATGGGTCGCCATCATTTTCAGACGGAAGTTCGTGGGTTGTGGCTCAGGGCGTTTTCGTCGAGTTAGGAAGTGTGGTCGACAGGAAATCCCCCTTTCCCTCGCTACCAGATTAGCCCAACCTGCCTAAATGACCAAATCTGAAACCGAACAAGAACTCCGCAGAGCGCGCAATGCCTTGAGCTTCCACTCGACCCTGAAACATCCTGACCTAGGGGTTGCCCCTTGCAAACAATACACAGTACGAACTCACGTCGTGCGAAAATCCTCGGTCCGCAAAGTCACTCAGGATTGCAAAGCTATCTCGATTGCTCGATTGCACATGTTGGGTGAAGTGCTCTGAGGCTCTGAGCTCAACCCACAGACTGGGCCGTGACACATTCGTTAGGATACCCGAACGGCAAACGCTGCAGTGTCCTGGCCCCCTCTCTCTGTGAAAATCCGCGCAGGTGTTGCCGCAGGCTGAGGTCGCAACGCCGGCATGGTCAAATGGAGCTCTCTTGTCAGCTCGCTGTCCTGCAAAAAACATGGAACTTCTGACATCCCTTCCCAGCAATTTCACATCTCGTGCTGCAACAAAAACACTACAGCTGCTCACGCACGTTTTCCGCAGCAGGACCAGATCCGCTCTGCATGTGCCGGAGGAGGTTAGTATCCTCCGTCTGACGACCTGCATATGTATACAACAACCGGCAGACAGCCAGATGTGATTAAGGCACAATGCATGTGGGAACCCTGACGGCAAGAATTGAAACAGGCACTTGTCCCGGTGAGCTACCGGTCACTAGATTGCACACGGAGTCGGGGAGCACCAACTGTAACCATGGCATCCCTGACAAGTTGCCGGACTGTGGCACACATGGTCGCCAGGAGGACACGTCACTGGGCAACCTGTGCTTGCCGGATGACAGCTGTCCGTCATGGTGGTGGAATCATGGCACATCACCTCATCCATGCCACAGTGGACTGGACAAGAGCTGGGGGAACAGTAGCTGTATCCATCGCAGGTGTCGCATGGCGGCGGCACATGGCACACATTGTCACCGGGGGGACAGGTAACCGGGCACCCTGTGCTCTTCGGATGGCAGCTGTCCGTCATGGTGGTGGAATCATGGCACATCACCTCGTCTATGCCACAATACACTGGACAGGAGCCTGGGGAACAGTAACTGTGTCCCTGACAACCGTCGCATGACGGCGGCATGTGGCAAACTTGGTCACCGGGAGGACATGAGATCGGGCAACCTGTGCTTGCGGGGTGGCAGCTGTCGGTCATGGTTGTGGAATCATGGCACATCACCTCATCCATGCCACAATAAACTGGACAAGAGCCTGGGGAACAGTAGCTGTGTCCATCGCAAGTGTCACATGGTGGCGGCATATGGCACACATGCTCACCGGGAGGGCATGTGACCGGGCAACCTGTGCTTGCCGGATGGCAGCTGTCCGTCATTGTCGCGGAATCATGGCACAGCACCTCATCCATCGCACAATAGACTGGACAAGAGCTAGGGGAACAGTAGCTGTATCCATCGCAGGTGTCGCATGGCGGCGGCACATGGCACACATTGTCACCGGGGGGACAGGTAACCGGGCACCCTGTGCTCTTCGGATGGCAGCTGTCGGTCATGGTGGTGGAATCATGGCACATCACCTCGTCTATGCCACAATACACTGGACAGGAGCCTGGGGAACAGTAGCTGTATCCGTGGCAGGTGTCACATGTGGCCGGCACGTGGCACACCTGGTCGCCGGGAGGACACGTGACCGGGCAACCGGTGCTTGCTGGGTGGCAGCTGTCGGTCATGGTGCTGGCATCATGGCACGTCACCTCATCCACGCCACAATACACTGGACAAGCGCTGGGGGAGCAATAACTGTGTGCCTCGCAGCCGTCGCATGGCGGTGGCATATGGCACACGTGGTCACCGGGAGGACATGTGATCGGGCAACCTGTGCTTGCTGGGTGGCAGCTGTCCGTCATGGTTGTGGAATCATGGCACATCACCTCATCCATGCCACAATAGACTGGACAAGAGCCTGGGGAACAGTAGCTGTAGCCATGACAGGTGTCGCATGTGGGCGGCATGTGGCACACATGGTCACCGGGAGGATGTCACCGGGCAACCTGTGCTTGCTGGGTGGCACGTGTCCGTCATGGTTGTGGAATCATGGCACATCACCTCATCCATCGCACAGTACACTGGGCAAGTGTAGGAGGAGCACCAGTTGTAGCCATCACAGCCATCACATGACGGCGGCATGTGGCACACATGCTCCCCGGCAGGACACGTGACCGGGCAGCCAGTGCTCTTTGGATGGCAGGTGTCCGTCATGGTTGCGGGATCATGGCACATGATTTCCTGCGAGCTGCAGGTCACAAATTGCGCTGTGCCGTCCTTCTTCATCTTCGTCTGCAGGGCACATGCTCCCTTGCTCTCCTGGACAGTGCTCATAGTGTCTGCCAACATGGCACGGACGGTAATCAGAGACACCAGAATCGACAGCACCATCGCTGACAAACTTCCAGCGTCAAGAAGAACAAAGTCTAGCTCAAGAGTGGGTAAAATGGCTGCGAAGGTCAGGAGCACACTCTTCCAAACACGACATGTCCGACAGTTGCAGCAGCCAAGCTATGCATGGCTTCGAGTGGAACGTGCAATGCTTGCTTGCAGAAGGCCGACACTGCACTGCCCATCGTCCTGACGGCTGGTGCAGGCGTGCATGGGCCTTGCCGCTGTTGTTGGGAGTGGCCTCTCTGAAGGGTCTTCATGATTGCACCGAGTTTCCTACCTACGGGCGCCCTTCTTACCTGGTTGCAACTTGACTTGTACTTGTTGCTACCTCGAATGTGATCTGGCTTCCTTGGACCAAGCTTGACCTTGCGCAATATTCTCAACCTTGTGAACGGCGAGGTCCTGAAGATGGCAGTCACAGGGCCCTCACCATACCGACTACGTCCGACTACTGTGGATGCTCACAGTCCCTTCGTGCGCTCAACTACTAGCAGCCTCAGCCGCCAAAGCGATTGAATGGGTCGCCATCATTTTCAGACGGAAGTTCGTGGGTTGTGGCTCAGGGCGTTTTCGTCGAGTTAGGAAGTGTGGTCGACAGGAAATCCCCCTTTCCCTCGCTACCAGATTAGCCCAACCTGCCTAAATGACCAAATCTGAAACCGAACAAGAACTCCGCAGAGCGCGCAATGCCTTGAGCTTCCACTCGACCCTGAAACATCCTGACCTAGGGGTTGCCCCTTGCAAACAATACACAGTACGAACTCACGTCGTGCGAAATTCCTCGGTCCGCAAAGTCACTCAGGATTGCAAAGCTATCTCGATTGCTCGATTGCACATGTTGGGTGAAGTGCTCTGAGGCTCTGAGCTCAACCCACAGACTGGGCCGTGACACATTCGTTAGGATACCCGAACGGCAAACGCTGCAGTGTCCTGGCCCCCTCTCTCTCTGTGAAAATCCGCGCAGGTGTTGCCGCAGGCTGAGGTCGCAACGCCGGCATGGTCAAATGGAGCTCTCTTGTCAGCTCGCTGTCCTGCAAAAAACATGGAACTTCTGACATCCCTTCCCAGCAATTTCACATCTCGTGCTGCAACAAAAACACTACAGCTGCTCACGCACGTTTTCCGCAGCAGGACCAGATCCGCTCTGCATGTGCCGGAGGAGGTTAGTATCCTCCGTCTGACGACCTGCATATGTATACAACAACCGGCAGACAGCCAGACGATTAAGGCACAATGCATGTGGGAACCCTGACGGCAAGAGTTGAAACAGGCACTTGTCCCGGTGAGCTACCGGTCACTAGATTGCACACGGAGTCGGGGAGCACCAACTGTAACCATGGCATCCCTGACAAGTTGCCGGACTGTGGCACACATGGTCGCCAGGAGGACACGTCACTGGGCAACCTGTGCTTGCCGGATGACAGCTGTCCGTCATGGTGGTGGAATCATGGCACATCACCTCATCCATGCCACAGTGGACTGGACAAGAGCTGGGGGAACAGTAGCTGTATCCATCGCAGGTGTCGCATGGCGGCGGCACATGGCACACATTGTCACCGGGGGGACAGGTAACCGGGCACCCTGTGCTCTTCGGATGGCAGCTGTCCGTCATGGTGGTGGAATCATGGCACATCACCTCGTCTATGCCACAATACACTGGACAGGAGCCTGGGGAACAGTAACTGTGTCCCTGACAACCGTCGCATGACGGCGGCATGTGGCAAACTTGGTCACCGGGAGGACATGAGATCGGGCAACCTGTGCTTGCGGGGTGGCAGCTGTCGGTCATGGTTGTGGAATCATGGCACATCACCTCATCCATGCCACAATAAACTGGACAAGAGCCTGGGGAACAGTAGCTGTGTCCATCGCAAGTGTCACATGGTGGCGGCATATGGCACACATGCTCACCGGGAGGGCATGTGACCGGGCAACCTGTGCTTGCCGGATGGCAGCTGTCCGTCATTGTCGCGGAATCATGGCACAGCACCTCATCCATCGCACAATAGACTGGACAAGAGCTAGGGGAACAGTAGCTGTATCCATCGCAGGTGTCGCATGGCGGCGGCACATGGCACACATTGTCACCGGGGGGACAGGTAACCGGGCACCCTGTGCTCTTCGGATGGCAGCTGTCGGTCATGGTGGTGGAATCATGGCACATCACCTCGTCTATGCCACAATACACTGGACAGGAGCCTGGGGAACAGTAGCTGTATCCGTGGCAGGTGTCACATGTGGCCGGCACGTGGCACACCTGGTCGCCGGGAGGACACGTGACCGGGCAACCGGTGCTTGCTGGGTGGCAGCTGTCGGTCATGGTGCTGGCATCATGGCACGTCACCTCATCCACGCCACAATACACTGGACAAGCGCTGGGGGAGCAATAACTGTGTGCCTCGCAGCCGTCGCATGGCGGTGGCATATGGCACACGTGGTCACCGGGAGGACATGTGATCGGGCAACCTGTGCTTGCTGGGTGGCAGCTGTCCGTCATGGTTGTGGAATCATGGCACATCACCTCATCCATGCCACAATAGACTGGACAAGAGCCTGGGGAACAGTAGCTGTAGCCATGACAGGTGTCGCATGTGGGCGGCATGTGGCACACATGGTCACCGGGAGGATGTCACCGGGCAACCTGTGCTTGCTGGGTGGCACGTGTCCGTCATGGTTGTGGAATCATGGCACATCACCTCATCCATCGCACAGTACACTGGGCAAGTGTAGGAGGAGCACCAGTTGTAGCCATCACAGCCATCACATGACGGCGGCATGTGGCACACATGCTCCCCGGCAGGACATGTGACCGGGCAGCCGGTGCTCTTTGGATGGCAGGTGTCCGTCATGGTTGCGGGATCATGGCACATGATTTCCTGCGAGCTGCAGGTCACAAATTGCGCTGTGCCGTCCTTCTTCATCTTCGTCTGCAGGGCACATGCTCCCTTGCTCTCCTGGACAGTGCTCATAGTGTCTGCCAACATGGCACGGACGGTAATCAGAGACACCAGAATCGACAGCACCATGGCTGACAAACTTCCAGCGTCAAGAAGAACAAAGTCTAGCTCAAGAGTGAGTAAAATGGCTGCGAAGGTCAGGAGCACACTCTTCCAAACGCGACATGTCCGACAGTTGCAGCAGCCAAGCTATGCATGGCTTCGAGTGGAACGTGCAATGCTTGCTTGCAGAAGGCCGACACTGCACTGCCCATCGTCCTGACGGCTGGTGCAGGCGTGCATGGGCCTTGCCGCTGTTGTTGGGAGTGGCCTCTCTGAAGGGTCTTCATGATTGCACCGAGTTTCCTACCTACGGGCGCCCTTCTTACCTGGTTGCAACTTGACTTGTACTTGTTGCTACCTCGAATGTGATCTGGCTTCCTTGGACCAAGCTTGACCTTGCGCAATATTCTCAACCTTGTGAACGGCGAGGTCCTGAAGATGGCAGTCACAGGGCCCTCACCATACCGACTACGTCCGACTACTGTGGATGCTCACAGTCCCTTCGTGCGCTCAACTACTAGCAGCCTCAGCCGCCAAAGCGATTGAATGGGTCGCCATCATTTTCAGACGGAAGTTCGTGGGTTGTGGCTCAGGGCGTTTTCGTCGAGTTAGGAAGTGTGGTCGACAGGAAATCCCCCTTTCCCTCGCTACCAGATTAGCCCAACCTGCCTAAATGACCGAATCTGAAACCGAACAAGAACTCCGCAGAGCGCGCAATGCCTTGAGCTTCCACTCGACCCTGAAACATCCTGACCTAGGGGTTGCCCCTTGCAAACAATACACAGTACGAACTCACGTCGTGCGAAAATCCTCGGTCCGCAAAGTCACTCAGGATTGCAAAGCTATCTCGATTGCTCGATTGCACATGTTGGGTGAAGTGCTCTGAGGCTCTGAGCTCAACCCACAGACTGGGCCGTGACACATTCGTTAGGATACCCGAACGGCAAACGCTGCAGTGTCCTGGCCCCCTCTCTCTCTGTGAAAATCCGCGCAGGTGTTGCCGCAGGCTGAGGTCGCAACGCCGGCATGGTCAAATGGAGCTCTCTTGTCAGCTCGCTGTCCTGCAAAAAACATGGAACTTCTGACATCCCTTCCCAGCAATTTCACATCCCGTGCCGCAACAAAGACACTACAGCTGCTGATGCACGTTTTTGCGCAGCAGGACCAGATCCGCTCTGCATGCGCGGGACGAGTGTTATTATCCTCCCGAGAAGAAGGTCCCCTCTGTCTGACGACCTGCATATGTATACAACAACGGACAGACCGCCAGATGGATGTTAGGCACAATGCAGATGGGAAAACCCTGTTGGTTTGGGGACACGTCACTGGGCAGCCAGAGGTGGCCGGATGACAGCTGTCTGTCATGGTGGTTGCATCGTGGCACAGCAGTTCGTGCATGCCGCAAGTGAGCGGACAAGTGTGGGAGGAGCACCAGTTGTAGCCATCACAGCCATCACACGTCGGCGGCGCATGGCACACATGCTCACCGGCAGGACACGTGACAGGGCAACCTCTGCTTTTCGGATGGCAGCTGTCCGTCATGGTTGTGGAATCATGGCACATCACCTCATCCACTCCGCAATACACAGGACAAGAGCCAGGAGAACAGAAGCTGTAGCCATGGCAGGTGTCGCATGTGGGCGGCACGTGGCACACAAACTCACTTGCCACACAAGTGACCGGGCAACCTGTGCTTGCTTGGTGGCAGCTGTCCGTCATGGTCGCGGAATCATGGCACAGCACCTCATCCATCGCACAATAGACTGGACAAGAGCTAGGGGAACAGTAGCTGTATCCATCGCAGGTGTCGCATGGCGGCGGCACATGGCACACATGGTCTCCGGGCACCCTGTGCTCTTCGGATGGCAGCTGTCGGTCATGGTGGTGGAATCATGGCACATCACCTCATCCATGCCACAATAGACTGGACAAGAGCCTGGGGAACAGAAGCTGTAGCCATGACAGGTGTCGCATGTGGGCGGCATGTGGCACACATGGTCACCGGGAGGACATGTCACCGGGCAACCTGTGCTTGCTGGGTGGCACGTGTCCGTCATGGTTGCGGAATCATGACACATCACCTCATCCATCGCACAATATACTGGGCAAGTGTAGGAGGAGCACCAGTTGTAGCCATCACAACCATCACACGTCGGCGGCATGTGGCACACATGCTCCCCGGCAGGACACGTGATCGGGCAGCCTGTGCTCTTTGGGTGGCAGCTCCGTCATGGTCGCGGAATCATGGCACATGATTTCCTCTGGGTTGCAGGTCACATCCTTCTTGACCTTCACTTTCGTCTGCAGGGCACAGGTTCCCTTGGTGCTCGTGTCTGCCAGCATGGCACATGCGGTCATCAGGGACACAAGAATCGACAGCAACATCACCAAAAATCTTCCAGCGTCTTGCGCAAGCTCTTGCTCAAGAGTGAGTGAAACTGGCGTCGGAGGAGGTTAGGAGTACACTTCCAGACGCTCTACCAAATAAGCAAGCCGGACATGGTGGTTGCAGACGGCTAAGCTAAGTACGGAATGCAGGCGAACGTGCCAAGCTCGGTGTACATATCCACCGTGACAGTGAGGGTGCAAATGCAAACATCCAGAGGTGTGAAGGCTACTAAGGTGCTTGTGACTGGGACTTCTTCATCGTCCATTCGCCAGGGGCATCACTAGGTACGACTTGCTGCTGCTGTTGGGTGCCAAATCGGGGGCAGGCTTCCCAGCTATCCAGCTATGTCCAAATTCATGCAGGCCAAACTGACTAGATGGTAGGGTCCCGCTCATCAACGCTCCTGCAGATGCCGTCACAGGGCCTCCCAGCACAAGATAGATCTGCATGCAATCTGGGGAAAGGGACATCTCCCAGCTTCTCAGCAACTTTCAGCTTGATGCTGCATCTGTAAATGCAGCGGTAGCAGGCAATGCCAGGTGCTGACAGTGGTTGCTTGTACGCCGGGACCGAAGACACAAGATGTAATGTCTCACCCTGACTAACTGGCACTGGTCTATGCTAGCGCCGAGTTCGCAACGGCTGCGATGGAGGTTTCAGGAACATGCAGGCAAAACCTCGGAGATGCTCTGTCAAAAGTCCGCTCTTGCTTAGTCCTAGGCCACTTGTTGTCAGCCTATTTCCGCATATCTGCCATGAAACCGGTTAACTGCATTGCTGCATTACTGGCACCATGAAATGACCTGCTTCGATTCAAGACTTGTCACTGCTCAGACTGAGTCACGAACGACATGGTTCTTGCAACTCTCACACTTTCCAGCGCCAGACCGTGAGATCATGCATCCAGACAATGGAGTGCAAGGGCGACGCAGTGAGCAAGTCCCCAAATTGGGCATGATATGATGAATGGAACAGCTAACCAACTGCAAGACGAAGAGCAAAAGCCCCGAAACTCTGCAACAGCCACTACGACTGCTTCTACGTGCGACAAGTCAAGACACTAGGATATCACTGCATCTCCCGGCCCGCACGACTTTTCAAAGGAGCATTCCACTCGCTGGCAGCGGGACAGCGGCATGCCCTGCGCGGGGGTGCCAGCTCACGCGCTCACGCTGGTGGTCCACGAAGGCGAGCTCCTCCCTGTCCTACAGCAACACCTGGCACAGCACAGGCAGGAGAAACCTAAGGATTCTTTACCGGAGACAGGCTCGGTTAAGGGACCTGGGCCGGGTCCGCGCATCACGCCGGGATCCACTCGGAGACAGGCTCGGGCTGCACGTAGGCAAACTCCTACGAGGCTTCCGACTTCCGACTTCCGGCAAGAGGCGGCAAGGCCTCGACATATGATCGCTCAGGATCATCGCAGCTTTCCTGCCAACTCACGGAGGTTCACGACAAGCACTTCACTTGTCCGGGAATTTCAGCCAGAACCACAAGGCGCCTCACAGGAGTAGATACAGATCGTGCCAAAGTCCAAGCGGTCTTGGAGCGGGGAGCCTCCAGACATGTTTGGGCGGTGTATCCAACTTCAGGATAATGGACGACGGAACTGGAGAACGATCTATAGAAGCTTTTTGCAAAACCCCTCGAGGCTGATTCGAAGGATGGCATTTCGAGAATGATGCCGGACATTCATTCAGTTCAAAAGTAGGGGCAGTTCTAGGTTGTGGATCCTATTTCGACTCCTTTATGATACTGTCGTAGAATTGATGTCATTCAGCGTGCCTAGGATATCCAAACAAAAGAGCTTCTATGATTCATTGACTGATTGACGGACTGATTGATTGAACACCCTTGAAATTGCAAGGCAACAGAATCTGCTCCGTGGCTTCCCAACTTGGACAAGCCCCAGCCGCAAATCTCACTTCAATCGTTCGGGTTGGCCTCGGGCCTGGACGCCTGGACGCACAATGCCTAGCTGCCTGTTCGCGTCCATGGCTGCCATGAGCATAGCATATTAGGTATGCATATGCATGCGCATACTATATTGCAAATATGTACTACATTGAATATATGCACAAGAAGAGTGCGTTTAGTATGCAGTATGCTTAGTTAGAAAACACCTAACCTTCATAGCGCCGCGCCCTGGCGCCAAGAGATGTTCCTTCCTCGCCGGGGTTTCCATCTTCGCAGCGGGTCTGTGCGGTCTGAGCCGGGCAGATTCCTTCTTTGTCACAGGCGATTTCCGAGTTCGCGGGTGCGGGCTTCTCGGAGAGCCGCCTTTGGGGGTCGATGTTTGCTCGCACTTTTGCCGCCGACTGCTGGCCGATTTACGTCCAGAGGCAAACTCCTCTCTGTCGAGTTGCACGCGCCCACGTAGTGACGTATTGGTATAGGCAGGCATGGATGCACGTATAGGTACGCACGGATCGTTGTACGGGCAGGTTACTTGCATACAATATCCACAGTTTGACACATCACGGCAACTGGACCTGCCAGCAAGGATATGATCATTGGCTGAACCTGCCGGGACATTCCAGCATATTGCTGGCAGTTCCAGCACAGCACCGGCATAGCGATTTTCGCGAGCCTGGCA